TAGCCTGCAGCCGGGCACCATATCTCTGGGCGCCAGCCCGTTACAGTCTATAAGAATTAGTCAGTATTAATTATATAGGAAATATAAACCCTCCAGGTTGAAATGGAGAAACCTATATATATTTAATAATATACTACTTTTTATAATTCCTAGCGGCCAATCCAACGAAAACGCTATCGATAAAGATGATACTACGAAGTTAGAAATGGGTTAAGCTATTATTAAGATACCTATAAGAAATTCATAATAATAATATAAAATATTTTATATTGGGAGTAATATATGAATAGTTTAATATTAAAAGTATAAAAATATTGTATAGACTTATTTATAATCTATTATTAATAGATTTAATAGAGTTATATATTAAATTATTTAAAATAGGGTTAAAGAAATAGGTAAGGGATAGGCAATATTGAAATTTGGAAAATTGGCCGGTAGCGGTCGAAGAGGTAATTTTATATTTAAATCGGAAAATAGTGGAGGGGTATAGATATTCACCGGTAGAAGTAATATTAGGATAGAATTTATATAACCGACTTAATACTGTAAAAAGGATTATAAAAAAAAGAAATAAATAGAGAAAGTATTAAATATATAGAACAGGGATATAGGATTAGAAGATTTATTTAAAGGACAAGTAGAGTAATTAGAAGAGATAAGAAAGGAGAAACGAGGAGAAAAAGTAGTAAAGGTAGAGAAAAGAGAGCTAGAGAAGTTGGAATATAAATATAAAGTCAATATAATAATATAGGAGAAGGTACCGGAATATAAGGATATAAAAGTAAAGGGATTTATAAAAGGAGGGTATAGTAAAAGTACCGATAGAAGGGCGCCGGCGTTTACCTTAAAGTAAACGGGACTTTAAAAAATAATAAAAATAATATTAAAAGTATCGATAAAAATAATTAATCTAATATTACGAAAGAAGTTAAAAAAAGTTATACATAAATAATTTTAAATTATAAAAGGTAGAAAACTAAAATTAAGTTTAGCCCGACCTAAATTAAAGAGTAATAGTAAGATAATTAAAGGAAAACATAAGAGTAGTATAGCTGGAATTAATTAAGGGTAAAGAAGAATAGAAATTAAATGAGAAAATATTATAAGTAGTTGAAGAATAATAAGTAAAACGATTAAATGATTAAATAATAAACGCGAAATTGTTTAGCAATAAGCGATGTTAAATAGAAGATTATAATAAAATATAATAACCCCTTTTAGTAAATAATAACGATAAGTAATTTATTTCCCGCTTTAACCCTATTTTTTTCCCTTTATTTATCTATTTATTCTCTCTCTTAAATTCTAATTCTTATTTATTATTATATTTAATACTATTATTAAGATTCCGTAGGGAGTAGAATAGAAATGGGTATAATTATATAAAGTAATAAAATATTTATAAACGGATAATAATAATATTTTTTTTTCGTTTTCTTCTTTAATACGATATTTCATTTTTTGCGTATTAATTATAATTAACTTACTACGAATTTAAATAGATAAGGTTGAATTAGAATATATATATATATGGACGAAGCAGAATATATATAAAAAGACGAATTTGAATAAATTCGGACGAATTAGAATAAATTAAACATAATAATAGTAAGCTACGATAATCCAGTCAATGAAAACATAGTATATCTGGGTTAAGTAATATATAAACGATTAGGCCGGGAGTATATATAATTTCATAATAATAAAAATATAGTAATTAATAAATTAGGTTTACGTAAAATAATTTTAAAAATCCTTAATCGGGGTCTTATAATTATTAATTAATATTTAATTGGAATAATTATAAATAATAAGAAGAAATTAGAGTTAGCTATACATCGTGAATTATAGAAGTTAATATTAATTTTAATTAATTTGGACTAGCCGTTAATAATTTAAGAAGAAGTACAAATATAAATCGAAGGGGTAAATTTATTATTTAATAGGGCTAATTAAAAGTTATATAGAATTAATATGAATATAGTAATTAATGCTGAATTATTATAAATAAATAAATTGTTGTAGATAACTATTTAATTTTATATTATTTTTATAATATAGAAGAAGAATAAAGTGAAGAAAAAATTAGAAGTATAAAGTAAAGGTTAAATATAGTTACCAGTAGTTAAGTTTAATAATTAAAGGTAAGTTTGGGTACAGAGATCTAATAGAGTATTCGAAAATATTTAACCAATTAATATTAATATAGGTAGTAAGGAGATTAGTATAAGGTTATTAATTAGAAATAAATTACTATATTAATTCTATATAAATAGTAAGGTAATATTACGGTAAAAGATTTATTTAGGAGATATAATTTTAAATATAATTATTGAAGAGGTTAAAATATATATTAATATAAATTGCGTTTAGGTCCGAATAGAGGATTTAATAAAAAGAATATAATGTATTAGTATTAAATATAATAAAATAGTAAAAATTTAGCGCTAATTAATTTTAATTACGTGAGATTACAAAATTTGTAAGGAATACCTTTTTAATTAAATAAATTTAACCTAATTGTAATCGAATAGAATTATAATAATAAAATTATAGACTATTCTAATTAAATTAAGATTTGGGTAGTAGAAGATTACGATTATAAGTATGGTAGTAATTATAATTATAACCGTTTTATACGCCCGGGAGGATATGCGGACCGAGATAATTAAATTAGGCCAAATTATGTAGAATATTTGCGGGTATTTGAATAAGGTAATATAATAAAGGTTTGGGAAATTTTAGGTTGGCGGAGACTAGTTAAGCGTATTTAAAAGGGTAGATTTATAGATATATAAATACGGAATTGTTAAAATTTAGGAGGATAATAGAATATACGGTATTAGTAATATTTGCGATATTTTTATTAGTTTATAGAGATAATATTAATTATAAGTGTGCAGTGCCACTTATAATAGAAGTTGGGGGCTATTAGGAAGGCGCGTCCCGCGTACTAACTAGAGTGGGTATAAAACCTTAGCCTAACAGGTATAACTATAGATAGTTTTCCTTTACTAATACAAGCCACCACTGCTGATCATTGCAACCCTTTTTCTTTGGCGTGCCTGAGCGCCGCAGTATCCATCATTGGTCTCAAAATCCGACCGGCTCCGTCCCGGCTCGGAGATATGCCTTCTTGAGAGTACGTATGAAGCCATTTTGCGTAATCACGTTGAAGTGTTTGGACGGCAGGTTGGCCAAAAAGCCGCGTGAGAAGTTGGGCCAACCAGTCGAGACTGCAGAAGCTAACGTTGCCGTGATCTTATTGCCGCCTAAAAAACCTGTGAAGAAGTTTTGCTTCTTCTTCGCGGTACAGAACATGTAGCAGCTCAACCAGAATCTCTGGTTGTTCCTTTGGGATAAATGCCTTCCGTGGTTTAGGTATTGCTTGCTCAGCTAGTCCCGAGTGCCCGATAGCCAGGGTTTCTCGGTAGTAGCTGAGCTCCGTCGCGAAGTGTTGCCGTATCACCTCCATGAACTCAACACCCTCAAAGCCATGTTCCCTTAGAGTCGAAAGCTGAGCCTCGTCTCGAGCAACAAAATTGGGGAAGTTATCCCCATCTGGCACGAGTATCTGACTCGCTCTATCCCACCAGTAATGCCAGTGTGCAGCGAGGTGACCTAGTTGCCCTCCTAAAGTTATAGATGGTAAGAATCGGAGAAAATTACACCGTCTACACGACGAACAGGAAAACTTCACCGTGGCATCAGCAGCGCTCTTAACCTGTAGCCATCGTTGAAGGGAGCCACGGTAGGCTTCCATTAGCAATTCGAGCTGCGTTGCTGCTTCGTCGTCCTCTTGGCGGATTTCCTCCCTTTCTTCTGCTGTCATGGGCTTTTTGAGCCTGCCTCCGAGAGTATTCAACTTCGCAGCAACAAGTATGCTTCATCCCTAAGCGGCGGAAAAGCTCCAATCGTACGGACTCCTCCACGCAACATTCTCCGTCTTCGCTGTCGAGTTCACAAAGCTGAATCCAGCGGAAGGTATGGTATTCGGCGTGTCGCATGCATAAACATGTTTGATCTCGTATCATGGACTGAATCAAGAGTAGCCGCCCATTTGGCGAACAGAAACAGATAGTGTAATCTCTCGCCATGGCATCAAAGAGCCCGGCAGCATACCTGACAAGTTCCTCCCAGTATCTGAGGGTTCTGTCACCGCCATTGAGTACGAAATGTCGAAGGCCCCGTGCCAGTTCTAGCAGGAGGTTGCTTCCTGGCAAACTATGGCGGAAATCAGGGTTTGACCCCTTTTGGAGAAGCCAGACGCACAAAGTGGTCCACGTGTCGAGGTTATAACCAACCCGGGAAATATTTTCGAGGACACAATGCAGCGGGTTCCGAATATACCCATCGTCGTCATGGATTCCAATCCGCTCGTATTTCGCTATCCGGGGCCATGGAGTCTTTCCCATCGCCTTCAAATTGTTAATTTCCGCAAAATCTTTCTGAAAAAGCTCGTCCAGACCTTGTACCAATTCATGGATCGGAATTTGGTTCATCGGAAAAGTCTGAATGCTCTCCGCGATGTGGAAGTAGATGACGGACAAGGCTTCAGCTTCAACCATACGTACACCGGTGCAATCGTCATTCTCAGAGTTGATGCCCGTAGGGCAAAACACCTGTTGTACACCTGTCGAATGATAGCCTGGTCTGCAGCGGTAGATTACTTGCCGTCGCTGTCTCCAGAGCCAATTCCTCAAGAAATCCCCGATACGGTCCCATCTGAGGAGAAACCGACATACCAACGGCCGATGCACTCCTCCGTTGAATTCAGTAAGTAACAACTCTAGAGAAACTGTGTCGCTCTCCATACCAGCAAGGACAAAAGCACTAGAAACTTCGTCGCTCCATTGGGTGGATAGAACTCGTAGGCCATCATGCCATTTCGCAACAATGGTAAGCTCCACCAAGGTGATCGAAAGGTATCCATAACCTTCTTGACGGAGATTTAGGTGATAGCTGCCCAGGGCTTCCTTCAGTCCCTCAAGGTTCCTGTTTAAGATGATGGATGCCAGGTGTCCCTCAAAAAAATCTGAAGCAAAGGTTGTCAGAGCTAATTGGTCAAACAAGCGCACACATTGTAAATTCGTAAGAGCAAATATATCATGTGAGCTAATAAGGTAAAACTTACATCTCAACAAGGACGGGTTTCTCACTAGTTGCTTTAGGAGATGGTGCCGATGAGGTGCTGTGTATTGCTCTGGACGGGTGTGTGGATTTTGAAAGTTCCATAAGGCCGCTGGCCGGAATATGTGAAGCACTCGTGGAAGTTCCACGTCAGTAAGTTCCTGGGCCAGAAGCGGTATATGCGCTCTGATAATGTCGGTGGGAGTCGTCTCTGCCGCCAGTTCTCCATCTAGTGTCAGTGACCTCGGAGCAGTCGTATCTAACAATGGGAGACTTACAACTTCGATTTCCCACTCAAGGCCGTGTACCGAAGCTCATTGGGAACAAAAATATTTACTCCAAAAAACTTAATACGGCGGGTGGTAAACAAAGTATCGGGCCTCGGTGCGCCCACATCTGGCTCAATGCCAAACCTCTCGGCCAAAAGTACCAAAGTGGTAATCTGGTCAACGACATGTACCACCGCCGAACCGAGCATTGCGATTAACACCGTAATCTCCTATGACAAAGAAGACTTTAGTTCAAGTGCTTTCAGGGGCTTCTCTTGTTTGCTTACGTGTAACAGGTTGTGTCCATACTCATCTCTGTCGTACAGAGATCCCTTACCGTCACCATGAGTCTTGAGAAGGGACTTGTTAAGGCGTCTCAGCTCATCAGAAAGTTTCACAACATCCCAGTCAAACCCGAAAGCGGTACGTACACCCTGCCCTAGTGTGTCCACTTGCCACAGAAGAGAAGTTCTATCGAATATATCGTTTTTCTTAGTCCATCGTGGCCGAGAGATTTGCGAGAACTCGTCAAAGAGCTTGAAAATACGCGATTCCGATCTCTTGACAGTGCACACAAGCCTCAAGGGGAACTCCAAGGCAGATCTAGTCCCATGTTGCGTGCCGCCAAGTGCAAGCTCGACCGTTTTATCGAAGAATGGCAGTAGTTGAACTGATACTTGGTATTGCCAAGAGCGTCGGCCAGTCTGTCTGAAAGGACATGACGCATCGTGATATCCTATGCTCTCGGATGAATATGACCACCGGAAATATCTGGCTGATTTCTTGGCAAGCAAAGTGCAGCGACAGTCTGGCTTCGGCAAGGCCATGCGAGTGGGCGACCGAGTGTTTCATGGCTGTAATGTCATCGCGCAGTTCGCCGAGAACAGCATTATTGGTAGTGACTTCAACCCGAGTGGTGTCTGCTATGCGGCCAACTTCCACCACTTTTGCGTCCATGTCATCAAGCTTAGTGGTGTTTGATATAACAGAGTTACGAACTTCTTCGGATGTTTCTCTAGAGCGCAAAGTGGGTCAGTTACCAGAAATAGCACTTCAAGATAACCGTTACGGAAAAGGCAACAAGCAGGGGGATAGACCTCGCTTAAATTGATGCTCTGAACTCACATTACTCTTGCCTCAAGACCTAGCCCGGCAAGTTAAAGCTGCTTGGTAAGCTCATTATTGTACCGTTGAATTTTTCTCAGGTGTTCTTGTATGATGCGCTCCTTCGCCAGCCCAACCACACTTTTCCAGAGCTTCCTTACACCGGACCTAGGCGTACTCAGTGTGCTGGTCTGAAGGTGGCCATAAAGTGGCTCCAGATCCAAGCGGAGGGCATCCGTAGCTCGGCGAACATCGGCGATGGTATTCCAGAGGCTCGTCAGTTGCTGCTGAGTGAGCAACTTGGCGAGAGCAGACGTCGGGCTCTGTAGCATGTCTTCAAGTTCGACGACTCGTAGTATGGCGTTTTCGGTGTCATTGAGGAGTTCGGTCAGCTTGGCGGGCGTCTCCTTGAGATCTTTCAAGAGTCTGATCCATTGAAGTACCCCCTTGATTCCAAGTCCTGCTAGCTGAAGCAACGCAGCAACGAGGCCAATCCCGGTGATTGGGTCCATCTTGGTTCATTGTTGAACGGGCTCTTGGAGGGTTTGTCTGGGCTTGATTTTGCAACTGCGGAGGACCTGACCAAGAAAACTCGATGTGGTGAAAAGGAAAGTATGAACGAGGGGTCAACGATAAATTAAACCAAGGAGGTTTTGGTTTGCGACGGCCTCTGCTGGGCTCATCGCCATCGTACACCTCCATGATTGCGGACTGGTATCAGACAGAGCCTTACTCTCCCGACTGGCGTGTGGCAGTGCATTGGTAGGGCATGGCGGGAATAATTTCAGTTGGCTGCGCCGTGACTTGAATCGATGCATAGGGTGGTGAACTCAATTGGTCTGTCAAGGGGGGGCGCATACTATCGTCGTATTCTGAATGGTCAAAAGTTGAGGTATTGGGCTTGAGCTTCGTAGCAAGCTGATTTGCCATCTGAGTAGAGACGGGAATTCAAAGATGGAGGTTCAAGCCTTAATGGAAGGCGATTAACAGCAATGGATGAATGTGGTGATTAGTTGGAAAAAGAAACCACTGCAGCGCCAGTTCTGTTTTTGCACAACTTGCACTCCACTGCCATGTTTGGAGATTGGAGATGCCGGCCGCAGAAACATGCAGCGGAAGTCTCATCCATCAAACCGACAGACAGACGCTCCTTCCTCAACACACCGCAAGGAAAGGTTTTCGCTGCACCTTCCATTTCTCACAAGAAATACCTGGCGACTGGGTTGCACCTGAACTAAAACCCAACTAACGACTTCATTTGGTCACGTTACTTATCCGGCGTCAATTTGGTGGCTTCGTTGCGGTGCGGCGGAGATAGGGTGCGATGCGCCCGGAGTTAAGACCCTCCTCTATATTTTATTAATACTTTATTATATTACTTTTTTACTAATGCACGCACGCTCGCAGGACGCAATACGGAGCAAGGAAGTAAGGTACACAGGAAGAACACATGGAGGGACCTACATTAGTTCATTGATGGCCGCAAACACCATCGGACGAAATCTGAAGCACCTGCGCCGGTCGTAAGCTTCCCGCCCGTTGGCCAAGCCCGCTCAAGACTCCGACCTTCAACGTCCGATGCAATGGATGGATGTTTCTGTTGGAATGCAACAGTTAAGGCATGTATCGATCCATATCTCCGGAAGTTAAGGTGGTTCTAGAAACATTTGTCATCACCCGTCGTTAAGATGATGGAGCCTCAAGCCCTCAACCCCAACAGCAAGACGGAGTAGCTCGAGGTAAATGATGGGCCCTCGTCGGACTCGATCCGCATGCGTGAGCTTCTGAGTCCGATATCACCACCATTCGGACAGAACGGAATTAAGACGGCCGCATGGTAAGAACAAAGACGCCATGAAGATGAGGCATTGGGGTATAAGGAGGAGAGGACGGGACGAACAGTAGAGGTCGAGAGCTGTCATTCAGTAACAGCAGAACACATCAGAAACTACCATCATCAAAAGCTCCCTCGTGCACATCAGCATAAACAGTCACCATGACCGCAAAGTACGCCAAAGATCAGTCTGCTGGGTTCACTAACCGCATCGAGCGCATCACCATCGTCGGTGTAAGTCATCACAATCACATCATGTCATCTCTACTTCCCTGTTGACCAACCTATAGGCCGGTGGCACCGTTGGCTCCACCATCGTTGAAGAGCTCCTCGCTACGGGAAGACATACCGTAACCGCCCTCACCCGGCCTGGCAGCACCAACTCCCTGCCCGCCGGCCTCAAGACCATCGCCGTGTCCTACGATAGCAGCGATGGCGAAGCCGCCCTAGTCGACGCTCTCGGGGGCCAGCAAGTCCTCATCATCTGCCTTTCGCCACAGGCCGCTCCCGACACCAACCACAGGCTCGTCGTCGCGGCCGCCAAGGCTGGTGTGCCCTACGTCATGCCTAACGGGTGGGGCTGGCTCTGGCTCGACGATGAGGAGAAGGAGAAACGCATTAAGTCCATGCACGGCGAAGTTGTGTACCAGAACCTGAAGGACGTCGAAGCGCAGGGGGTGTCGAGCTGGATCTGCGTCCGTTGCTCGTTTTGGTACGAGTTCTCGCTTTATAAGAGTGAGCGCAACTACGATTTTACGTTGCCTGACAAGAAGGTGACCTTCTTTGATGACGGCGAGAAGAAGATCTGGACCACTACCACGAGACAGGTGGGAAGGGCCGTCGCGAAGCTGTTCAGCCTGAAGGAGCTGCCTGAGGACGAGAACGATCAGGATCTCACGGTTGCGAGGTGGAAGAACAGACCGCTGGTTGTCGGCAGCTTCAATGTCTCGCAGAGGGATATGCTGGACTCGGTGCACCGTGTCATGGGAACCACGGATGAGGATTGGACTATCACGAAGGAATCTTCTGTGGCGAGGAGGGAGCGGGGATTGAAGCTCATGGCGACTGACCCCAGCCATAGGTTTGTGCTCGCTCTATATGCCTCGATTTTCCTGCCCGATGAGGTCAGCTGGTTTGGCAAAGCGACTTTTGACCAGGAGGAGGTGGATAATCAGTTGTTGGGACTGCCGAAGGAGGATTTGGATGAGGCGACCAAGCGCGCGGTCGACATCGCGGTCAAGATGAGGCAGTGATTGGATCGCGCAAGTTGGCCACACCTGTTAATCAACCGTAAAGGTGTCAGTTAAGCAATTACCCTCTTTAGATACGAGCATTTCCCTTTGGATTTCCCATAGTCGTGTACGCAGCGCACAATCGTAAATGTCCGAACCTTCCGGAATAGCCCATTTTGATCGATGAAAATTGAAATCAATGCCTGTCGTGCCTGTAAAACATTAAGGCATGTCCCGAAGAAGGAGCATCATCGCGATAATTGTTTTCGCCAACGGGCTCTGGATATCGCGAAATACTATGAGAAGATATAGTGGTTTGTAATGCAAAATGCGGAATTACGAACAGAGTGTCTCGCAAGTGGTGGCATGCCAGCATGCCAATTGGCGTGAGTCGGCCCTTGTTGGTGCTGCGGGTTATGGTCTTGGCATACTTATGCACAGGTTTGCGAAGCTATTTCAACAAGCAAACCGCGCCGATGGTATAGTGGTTAGCATCCTCGCTTCCCAAACTCCTTTGGAATCAGCGAGGGACCCGGGTTCGAACCCCGGTCGGCGCACATCTTTTTTCGCTTTTTCCTCTCGTATTCTGGATATTGCTTCATCGATTAACCAACTCGAAGAAGCTCCTTTTTTTTTGTCGAGATGCTTGTAGCTGCGCGCCATGATGATGTGCCCATCTTCTTTGCCTGCTGTTGATGATATTTTTTCTCATCTGCGTGGCCCAATGTGCAGCTTCCCCAGGGTGCGGTTCCCGACAGTTGACAGCAGGAATGCTTTTGTTTGCGTTGTTCTAAAGGCAGGTGCGGCAGTCTACCTGCGCGGGGGATCACACAATGTGTCGACCCCGCGTTTTCTCCCAGACAACATCCACGAGCTGACATGTGACGACAACCAGGTAAAAGCTGGATTCCATCTCCTGCACGAACAGAAAGACTATGAAGCGTCTCCATATTCGCCCATGATCTTGATACGAGAAACTCCCAATTCTGAGCTGCCGCCATCTCTTCCCGCCTGGTAAGCTCTTCCCAGAAGAATCCATGAGCGAGATATTTCAACGACGAAGCTGACAATTTTCGCCCAGAGTTTGCCATGCCATCCATCTCATCCCCTCAATGGAGATCATACGAGGTGGTATGACAGTGGAACTCATGCACCCTGACTTCATGAACCCCAACGATGCAGAGTCCTCTTCCAGGAATGGAAAGGCCGCCCAGATGAACATTAACGGCCCTGAGTGCATAATTTTATCTCTCAAACGAATCATATCCCATGTTCGGTACATGGGCAAAAGACTTTACATACTCCTTCAGGTTGGTAAGTACGGGTTAGGTAGGATTCCGGCGGCGGTTTAGCATCGCAAGCTTTAGAACAACATCTTCGACCCGCACACAATGGCCATTTTCTGGTTCCACTTTCACCACCTTGAGCACCACCTGGAATGATGAACCGCCACCAGAATCTTACCTGACCTGTATTCACCACCTCGAAGGAGTAAAGTGCTTTGTCCACGTACCAAGCTACCAAACTTTCCAGCAGTGGACCATGAGGAGAAGGGTTCAAGAGGGGGCGCGGAGGGGTGGGAAGACACGTCCAAGACAAAAGGATGGTCTCCAAAGGTTGTCCTGGCTCATCACCTTGTGGGACATATCGAGTCTTGGGCAGCTAAGAATAACACCGAGACATTGCCCGCTCGCCTCTTAGCCTTTCTTTTTCCAGGCCTCGACTACCCGCTTACATCCAGCCATGGCTTCTGCCACAACGATTCCCTCCCCAGGCGTCTCCCGCCCAACGTCACCCCGGAGGCATTCCAGGCATTCATCTCCCGCGCTCAGTCTATCGTGGGCGCCGAGAATGTCACCGTGGTTGACCCCCAAAACCCCCTGGAGGATGGCACCTATATGGATAACTGCAAGGCGCACGACATGCACTCAGTGTACGAGCGAGACTACTTTGTGGCTTCCGCCGTCGTAGCACCCCGAGGCGTCTCCGAGGTCCAAGCGATTGTCAAGCTCGCCGACGAGTTTATCGTGCCCGTTTGGCCCTTCTCTGCTGGCAGAAACGTTGGGTATGGCGGTACCGCACCTCGCGTGCCGGGAAGCGTGGGTATCGAGTTGGGAAAGAACATGAATAAGGTCCTTGAGGTCAGCGTCGAGGGCGCTTATGCGCTCGTTGAGCCTGGTGTGACCTACTTTAGTCTCTATGATTATCTTGTGAAGACGGGACTGAGGGAGCATCTGTGGATTGATGTGCCAGATCTTGGTGGCGGTTCCATTATTGGTGAGTTTTGGGTTTGGTATTGGATGTGGAGAGATATACTGGGCTTCTGTTGTGTTAGTCATGAACTGACGAGGAGATGCCAGGTAACGCTGTTGAGCGCGGTGTGGGATACACGCCATATGGTGGTAAGTAGAACCTTTATTTCATGATGTGGCATAATGACCCTGACTTTCTGCAATAGATCACTTCATGATGCATTGTGGTATGGAAGTCGTTCTCCCTAACGGCGAGCTTGTGAGGACAGGCATGGGTGCTCTCCCAGAGCCTGGAAACGTCCCCGGCCTCGCACCTCATGAGCAAAAGCCCAACAAGACCTGGCAACTGTTTAACTATGGTTTTGGCCCCTACAATGACGGTATCTTTACCCAGAGCAACCTGGGAATTGTGGTGAAGATGGGCATCTGGCTCATGCCCAACCCCGGCGGGTATCAGGCCTACATGATCACCTTTCCCCGTGACGACGACCTGTCTGCCATCGTCGACAAGATTCGTCCCCTCCGTCTGGTATGTACCGCTTGCTCATATTTGGCCGCCCATCAAACGTCGCTAATGTTGCTCTTCTTAGCAAATGATCCTCCAAAACACGCCTACACTCCGTCATATCCTGCTCGACGCTGCTGTATACAATCCCAAATCACATTATACCGACAAGAACACCCCCCTAAGCGAGGCCGAGATGGATGAAATTGCCGCCAAGCTCAATCTCGGCCGATGGAATTTCTATGGCGCCGTCTACGGGCCTGAGCCTATACGCGCCGTCCTCCTCGAAGCCATCAAGGCTGCCTTCCTTACCATATCCGGATCCAAGTTCTACCTTCCCGAGGATCGGACAGAGGAGAACAGCATTCTGCGCATACGATCGGATACCCTCCAGGGTATACCCAGTCTCGACGAGCCGAGGTGGGTTGACTGGCTCCCGAACGGCGGGCACTTGTTTTTCTCGCCTATTGCCAAGATCAGCGGCGCGGATGCGGCATTGCAGTATGAGGTTACGAAGAGGAGGTGTCAAGAGACCGGTTTCGACTTTATCGGTACCTTTATCGTTGGCATGAGGGATCTGCGTAAGTTTGGGGTTCTTTATAATCCCCCTTCCCCCTTCTAATTGACCTTATTTTTGCACGGAGCCTTGCCGACATTCTACCCAAACACTCGCTAACCTTGTTTTCACCAACAGATCACATCGTCTGCATCGTCTTCGACCGCGAAGATCCCGAACAGCGTCTCCGTGCCCGGTGGCTCATGCGCACAATGATCAAGGATTGTGCCGCCCACGGCTGGGGCGAGTACCGCACGCACTTGGCGCTCATGGACCAGATCGCCAACACGTACAACTTCAACGACAACGCCCTGATGAAGCTGAACGAGACCATTAAGAACGCGCTCGATCCCAACGGTATCATGGCCCCTGGCAAGAACGGTGTGTGGCCGGCTGGCTATGACAAAGAGCAGTGGGTGCTGGGTGGAGAGGAGGAGTGGGCTCCTCCTGGGACACAGGCGGCGGCTGCGACGAAAGATTAAAATATTACCAAGTTATTCTCAGGTTTGTGACGAGGTGAAATGTGAAAAGAATTGATTCGAGTTAACAGCTGCCTCCTATGATAGTGGTTCAACTTCCATCACCGAAAACTCCGCATCCAGACCGCCTTACTTCAGCTGTCAGTTTCGGCGTTGACGGAAAGGCCGTATCGAGATACCATGACCTCATCACCACCTTAGTACAAACCACATCGCCTCCCTATTCGGCCCTCGGTTCAGCCTCAGTAACACAAACACTCAATCCCCCTGGGGCTCCCATACTGGTTTACGAGCTTCCCAGGATATGAACCAGCTACGCAAACACTTGATCCGCCATGACCGATTCATTAATACCCGTTGTGTGTTTTGTGCGACCGTGGTTCCAGGGCCACAGTGATGCTGTGTAACCACCCATCACCCCCACACATTCCAAACAACCGGGTCAACCCGTTATCCAGTAATTAGGTAGGTACCCTTCCATCTCCTCTCCCAGCTGTCTGGGCTGGTTGTTGATGGGTAGTGCTGTGCCCCGGCATGCCTTGGATGATGTTGCCTCGCCATGCACGCAATATTGCCCGCACGTATGTATGTAAGACGGGATAGCGGGAGCTTACATACACTATGCACACACACCGGCACTGCACCCGTTCGGGGGTAAAGAACTACCGGTAGCTGGATGAAAAGCTCCCTCCTGGATGGATTAAACTCCTTCCCGGAAGGACCAAGAGATCATCATAGAGCATTGGCTGTAGTTGTGATAAAGTTGGCACTGGTCAAGCTATGTACTCCGTACTTTGTGCCTGGAAGTTGACCAGAACCAGCATCATGCCTGGTAGCCATGTGTTATGTGTGACGCGCGATTGTCTGGAGTCCGGAGTTTTAACCAAGGAGGTCCCTGGTAGCGTTTGATGGGTTATACATTGACTCGGCCGTACCGTAACAGAGGTAGGTATCTCGGGAAATCCGGATTCTACCTCTATCTTGAGGTGTGACAGAAAAGGTAGGGTTAAAGGTGTGTCGGTTCCTTGGGTTTAGTGGCCGTCAAGGAGCATTTACATAGGTGGCTTTGAGGTAACTTTGCAAATATTCTAGTTTCCTGACGGCTTTACGTGGAACCCATGTCTTTGCGAGATGACAAGTGAGGTTAAAGTTTCGCAAATCAGGCACGCGAAAAGCAGCACCTCAAGATCTGTTTCGAAGAGTAGGTAAAATTTCGGTCACAAAAAAATTGGACCAGTTGTTGATAATACAGGTAAATATCTTCATCCGCCAGAGCCAGAGTCGGAGCCAGAGTCGGAGCCAGAACCAAGAAAGTTTTTGAATAGTTGTGTACAGTGTGTGTATGTGTCTGATATCTCTCTCTCTCTTTCTCATTACAACTCAATGAGTTTATGCAGATATAAGACTAAAATAATCCAACAAAAGAAGCGAAAAAGAGAGAGAAGCATTTGTGTGTGTGTGTGTGTGTGTGTCTGAGTTTGACGAGTTTTCCCCTTCAACTTCTTCCTTTAATGGGAGGCCAAAACTTCAAATATGCTACTCATGTTGACTGACGCTGCTGCTGGCTCTGCTCTCGTCCTTCCACCAAAAGAACCAAATGCCGAAATGGGCGCCCGGGCAGGCGAGGGTTCAAACATGTCGAAAAATGGTTCTGGTTCCGCTCTTGTTTGGTTTCCTGACCACATGAAAGAAGAAGAAGACGAGAAAGGAGAGAAGCGCGAGGCTGGGTCGGGGGTTGTGGGCGACGGGGCGCTCGAAGTGGTCGCTGAAGTCAGGTTCGACGAGCTCGGAGTTTCGTATAGATAGGCCATCAACAACTCGTGAAGCTCGGCCGTGGCAGTTGGGGAGAGTAGCGTCGGCCGGCTGATGCGCTTGTAAGAGCGGGCGCGGAAAGACGGCGCGGGGGAGACATCGGTTGGCGTCACGGGACGGTCGGAGTACTCGGAAGCGGACGACGAGAAGGACAAGCTCCTCGAGGGGTCATTGGGAGTGGTGATGTAGGGCGTCGTCGGCTTGGCCTGGGGTCGTTGGGTGGCGAGGTGCTGAGGAGCGATCTTGGCCGCAACTCTCCTGCTGTGCCTTCGCTCGAGCTCGGTCTGGAGGTTCCTCACCGGGGAGGATGACCTGATGGTGGAGCTGCGCTTCGCCTTCCGCTTGGGATCGGTTTCGAAGAGGTCAATGGCCTTGGAGACGGGGACATTGCTCGGGGTGGTGTGGTTAAAGTCGTCCAAGAGCAGAGAGATCTGTGTGTCTTCGAGATCGGCCAACAGGTCGAAGACTCGGTCTATCGAGGAATGCGACTGGCGACGGGCGAGGGTCGGCATATTGGGCGGTGGTTAGATTCGGAGTGGTGAATTTTGTTGTAGTGGTTGTAGATAGGAACGAACGACAAGGGAGTAAAACGGCGACGATGATTGACGACAACGGCGGACCAAGAAAGACGAAATTGGAGAGAGACAAGGAGAGACAGAGCTGCGATAGCCAGAGTGAGTGTTGGATTATTTCTTTGTATTTTTGTTCTTGTTGTTGCGTTTGTTTGGTTGGTCCTGGTGATATTAAGGAAGGTCGGTAGCGGACTGCAAGCTACGATGTGGTGTGCTCATGACGGCATGGCTGTTGGGATGTGTTGTTTGTCGTCGACTCTGTTCAGAATGGCCGGTGCCTGTGATGCATTAAGGTAAACAGATGCGGTGATGCGGCATTCAGTGCTGCATTGATGCCGAGTACAGTGGTTGCAGCAGCTTGAGACTCGGACCACTGGTGAGAAAGAGAGAAGGGGAAAGTGAGGAAAGTGGAAAAGTGGAAAGGACGGGAAGTGAGGCAGGCCCAAGAAACTGGGAGTCTGGGAATTGGAAGGGGGAAGAACTGGAGGGAGGGGGGGATTTTTTGCCGGGTCTTGCAAAATGCAAAGGTGCAATTACATTAATTCAACGTCGTATGGGTCTCTTGCCATGGCGATAATTTCCATGGGGAGACCAAGAGCGAGCTTCCCCATTAAAAATACTAAATTCGGGACGGGTCACCGCGTGGATGGACGGGATGCACCCCCGATGCACCCCAGGCTCGGCCAACACTTGGCAGGGGCCGCCCTGGAATGGCTCCACTGCGCAATCAGCGGATATCTCTCAGGCCTTCACCACTGCTCGTCACATTGCTGCTCGTGGGAGAAATGGTGAAAGTTGGACGGCCCTGACGGCCAAGGTCAAACGAAAGCAGGCCGCAATGCAACATCGCGCGAACCAGGGGAAATGGACGCCCAAATGCACGGATCATCTCCCGGGGCTGTTTTGCATCGGCAGGGGTGTCCCCTGGCAAGCCAAGCCACTTGCACCTGCTCTAGCCCTTTTTGCTCTTTCCCAATTGCGCTAACGTTACAGCCCTTTCGCCCTTTGATTGGTCACATGGCCGCCTTCTCGATGGAGACTCGAAATGCCCGTGCGTGCAGTGTTCGCGGCAGGCAAGTATGTAGGCAACGTCACTTGACCGAACACCACACTGGATTCTGATATGACTTCAAATGTCTAATGTTCTTCAACCTCATCCCAAAATCACTCGGAATTCGACGCGGGGTACTGGCCTGCGCACACTGAATCACACCGGCTTCGGAATCAATTTCAAGACCAGCATAACAGGCTGTTTTACTGAGTGGGCGTCTTTCGAGGCAAATGTCCTGGACTTCCTCACCTGTGGACGTCAAATCCACGACACAACAATGGAAAACATCATTGCATTCCCTACGAGGCTGTCGATTTCTTCGTGAGTTTTCCGCTCGCTGAATTCATTTTGGTCCATAATTCTCATGGTCACTTTTCCATTGATCGCCATCGATGGTCTTGGCTTAACTTTCAAGATTCGCGTTTCCAATTTGGGATGGAAGAAACGGTGTTTTGGTCAGCAGTCATCCGAACTCCGGCGAGTTAACGAGACAAGTGAAGGTAAATTACTGGTTTTTTTCCACAAAAACTCCGCTCTATTTGAAATTCAACTTTTCCTGAAACCCAGGTAGCGTTTTTCTTCCTCTTGCACTCCCTTCCCACCTTCAACAAGTCCCGGAGCCACCATCCACCGACATCAAACAGTGACGAAGTCGGCGTCGAAATACTTGCGAAAAGCCTGGAGCAAGCACAACATGCTGCTAAAACTACCCTTCGAAACGCTCACTCACATTTTGGGTCACTTTGCTCTGACTTTGCCCAAAAATAGTGATGACTTTCCAAGTTATCGTTCAGCGCGCAATCATGCGTACGAGGCCGACGATCTAGCCCCTCTTCTCCAAGACCGACGGACTTTGCGGAAACTTTGCCTTGTCCACTCACGCTGCCACGCTGTGGCCTCTCTGCTCCTTTATCAAACCGTTATTCTGGAGGATGCAGCGGCACTACCCTTCTTCTTACGGACGCTCTTAGAATCTCCCAAAGCAGGCGAGGTGGTCCGAGTTCTGGCAGTAATAGCAACCTTCAACACCACCAAAGACGAGTATGACCTATACAGATGCGCTTATAAGGGCCTCTGGGCGGACATTGGGCGACAGGTATTCGAAGAAGCGCCGCGCAAAATCCAGCGAGGCGAATTTGACTGGCGCATCCGGTTCAGTAACTACCATTGTCAGCCTGATAATGACGCCACGGACATTCAAGTCACGAGGAGGAAAACGCGTACCATGGAGCTTGTCAATACTTTGAAGCGGGATTTGTTCCTCTGGGCTGGGTTTGCAACAGGTCGCGATCGCCCACCTATGAATAAGCTCATGCAAGACTTCCTCTACTGCATGCTCCGGGAAACACCTCGGGTACGACGACTATTGTTGCAGTTCCCGCTTGATTGGGGAGCTCCGCAGTGCAGCTTTGCAAGTTTCGCGAAGCTCTATGATGACAACGCGTCTTCTACGCCAGACTTCTGCTCGTCTTTGACCGAGCTCATCCTGTTGTCAACCTCGAAACGCCCAGCAAACTGCTGGCTTCAAGATGTAAGACAGTATCCGTTTCGATACTTCCGCTCCCTTGACACACTCACGGCCATTGGGTCGACAGAAACTTTCGACCCATTCCACCACGAAGCGCTCAAAAGTATCCGCCATCTGCACCTCTTAGATACGACCGTGCAGCTTCGGACACTTTGCGGTATGCTCCTCAAGTTGCCTCAGGATCTCGTCTCTCTCATATTCAAGCAACGTCCATCAGATCCTTTCAAACTGCCTGCCCTAGACGACCTCCCCACTACAAAAGCACCAACGCTCTCCGAAGCATTGCTCCTGAAGGGCAGCAAACTTCAAGAGCTCACACTCGTTTTCTGTTATTCGAACTGCTTCAAGAACTTTATCGGGCAAAGACAGCGTCTCACTAGCCTCCCAACTTTGGATCGCTTGGAAAAGTTGACTATTCAAAAACATCTTCTATTCGGGAATCCCCGCAACTTTTCGCGCGAGGTCAATCTAGCCAGCCTGCTTCCGCCAAATCTCATCAAACTGAACATTCTCGACGAATGGAAGATGGATATCATCGAACGCGAAACATGGCTAAGTCGATACCAGAGGAACGACCCAGACTATTCCGAAATGGACCTTTACCAGACCGATGTCTTTTCGGAATCCGACATGTCGCATCTTGTTCATATCTTACCCGATGATATCCCCAACGTTTTCAAGGCTTCAAAGGGTCTAGAGCTGTTCTCATCCTATCGCAACGCGGTCGAGACGATGCTGCTCAATCTAGCTGCTGACTGCCACGCTGATCAAATCGGCTGCCACATGCAGGCTGTGGACGAACAGCAGAGCCGACGGAAACTTGCCAGTCTTCGTTCCGTCACATATCAAGTCGCACCGAACAAGCCACTCGAACTGTTCCCTGAGGCTGAAGCTCGCGTTCATGAAGAGAATTGGTCACATGTTTCAGAACGTCCACCTGTCAAAGACTCGATGGAAAAGACTATATCTGCAATCAAATCTGGCTCATTTTTGTGCTGGATCCCTTGCCGTTGGACAGACAGTATTCTTCTCGATTATGCATTTGGTAGTCGCTATGATGATTTTGGGGTGAGCGTACGGTATATCCGTGACGATGGCTCCATTGGGAGTAGTGCCGCAGAGGGAAGCGATGACGTTAACGAGGACAGCGAGGACAGCGAGGACAGCGAGGACAGCGAGGACAACGAGGACAACGAGGACAACGAGGACAACGAGGACAACGAGGACAACGAGGACAACGAGGACAACGAGGACAACGAGGACAACGAGGACAACGAGGACAACGAGGACAACGAGGACAACGAGGACAACGAAAATCGCGAGGCTGTTGACCAGCCCAAGCCCAAGCTTCTCTATCTATGGTGTGCATTCCGAAACATCCAAAGAGAGTATTTCGCGGATATCACTGCAGCTTTTGCGCTGTCTGGTGTCCAGTTTGATTGCTTTGGGGACTCGAGGCCGTGGCTCCTGGCTATCAGAGATGCTGCAAAGGTTGAGGTCCAGGAACTGGGGATTGATGTGGTTGTGCGGGAGGATCTCTGATCCTACGATCACTGGGAGAAGTCTTCAAATAAACGAAGCGTAATCCACGGAGTCGCGTGACTACCTACACCAGGTAGTCCGCTCCTAGTTGATATATTTGCTAATGACCAACATGGCTTCCGAATGACACTCGGATAATCATAAATAGAAGGACGCTTAAAATGGGACGCTGGCACAGCTCAGATAGGATGTTGCTACCGTTCAGATAGGAGGCCATATCACTCAATGATTAGCAGAGATGATGGTTAGGTAGCACCCCGAAAATAATAGATTCTTAAAACCCAGTGCCGCCCCCAACTGTCTGTGATTCTGGGAAGAAGAACAATACCATTGTTGGATATCCTACAACAAAACCGGTTATAAGATAACGTGAAGGTCATTACGGACCCCTGCCTTGTTCTCTGAGTGACCGTGGAAGATACACAATTGGTACTTGTCTGCTGTTTTACGCATTAACTAGTCTTCGAGATGGCTTTTCTCTGTCATGATGTGGCAGTTTCTGGAACAAAATAATCCAAATGGTTCCGGGATATCGCATCGTGACTATTGTGTGAAACATAACAAGTGGAAACGCGTTAATATCCTTCATAATTCAGTGTCAAATGCGTTTATATATGTCACGATCACTTCGGTTAGTGACTACGGCACTCTTAATGTCACTTAGCCGTCATCAAGCTGCTCAAGGTTTCGAAGAGTTTTCACATAATGAAATATGCAAGTGGTGATCTCACTGAGCTGGAACTTTAAGTTGATCCGGGTTTTAATGAGTCTATCTAAGCCACTACCTCTATGTAATAGGTAATTGACTGTTGGCTTTACTCAATCTCCGAGTTAGGACTAACACCATACCATCACTCCTGCCTATGCTCAAGTGAGCGCCATAGCCGACGGTTCGACCATCAAATCCCCAGTACTCCTTTTCCTTGTCCTTTTCCTTGACAATCTCTTCGATATGAGAGCTTAAGCCAACCTGTTGAACGCCATCCATGTCCGAACTTTCATCTATCACTAGATGGATTGTAATTCCTCCACAAGAATGCTTCCACGTTCATTAGACTCGCCAGTTTTGGTTGTACCATATTATAGCAACAACTTAAGCGCTAGGACTAGGACGAGCCTGCTTGCCATCCTCCGCAGCCTTCTCAGCCATCTTGGCAACCAGAATGTGGCGGTCGAGCAATTCGTCTACCATCGGGGAGCGAGGCTTGATGGAGACTTTGAAGGGGAGGACAATCCTGGGAAAAAGGGAATTAGTAACTCATATCTTGCGGCAATAACTCCAACTAGGGATCAGAGAAAGGAAGGAGGAAGTACTTACGACTGTCCCTTATGTGAAAACTCCGGCTCAAAATCCTTCAGGTTACCATCCGGTCCAATAGGCAGATCAAACTCCATGGTAGCCAACATCATCGCCATGGCGATCAACAAACTGTTCTCCGCCAGATGCTGGCCCACGCAGACACGGCGTCCAAAACCAAAGTTGCCAACAGGGAAAGGCTCGCCCCAGCCGCCCTCCTCCTTGGGCAGGTAGCGCTCGGGGAAGAAGCGCTCCGGCTCACGATAACGCTTCTCGTCTCTGTTCATGGCCCAGACGTTGGGGTAGACAATGGTTCCGCAAGGGATCCGCATTCCGTTGTAGGTGTCGTCGCCATCGGGGTCGATGTCGTTGGAATCTTTGACGCTGGCATGGGGGATGCCGAGCGGGGAAAGCGGGTTGATTCGGTAGACCTCCTGAAGGATGAGATTGACGTATTTGAATTTGGGGATATCCTCCCAGGTGGGAAGGCGGATGGTTCCGGCGCGGTTGCTGGAGGACGCGGCCCAGGGTGCGGGAGTGGTGGGGCGGTAATCCTCTACGGGCTCGGTGGGAACACCGGTCGTGAGTAGAATGTAGTCGACCTCCGCCTGAGCGCGGCGCTGAACGCGAGGGTGCTTGACCAAGTAAAGAATGATGAGGTTGACAGTCGAGGCAGTGGTATCGTTGCCGGCGATGAGCATGGTCGCAGCTCCTCCCTTGATATCCTCCTCATAGTAGACGTTCTGCCTGTTTCTACGAGCGTCCTCCCCCCGGAGATAGTGCATTCTGTGCACAAAGCATTCCTTGAGCTTGCGAATGGGCTGTATTGCTGGTTAGCAACCGAGTTTTAACTGTCTTAAAAGGCTGACTTACGTAGTCCGACATCGATTCGTTGAAAGGACGCTCTGTGATATCCTGGATGGCCTTCTTGTTCTCGTGAGCATACTTGAGACGCTCCATGAACGGCAACCAGTCGGGAAGGTGGCGGGCTAGAGGACTCAAGTTAGTAATTTGTTCGTTGGGCAATTATGGTAGATAGGAAAAACTTACTCCACGGAATGCGATCCATGATCGAGCTGGCTGGAGCTCCTGCCTTGCCAACAGCTTCGGAAGCCTCTGCGGCTAGCTTGACCCACTCATCCGTGGGAGTGTCAACATCGATGCCATAAGCGATCTTCATAATTATGGCCACGGCAAAATGAGTGACAGCGGACATCCACTCTTTGGGGTTCTCGATCAGATTCTTGCACATGATCATTGCCTGCTTCCTTTGCAGGGTTTGGAAATAGACACAGCCGATCTTGGTGAGAGGAGGCGACAGAACCTTTCGATGGAGACCCCATTGGGGCCCCCAACGGAGCCAGGTGAGGGTGGGCGCCCATCCCATTCTATAGATGTCGTTGTTAGCAATGCCAGATACGAGACAATGTTGCAAGGGTTTGAACTTACTCCTCAAACATCACGAAGCGGGGACGGTCCGAGTACTTCCTTCCACGGACATCGAGCAGTTCATGGGCTGCTTCGTAGGAGTTGAGGACGACCCATTTAGTGCCGAGTGTCTCAAAGTACAGCACATCGGAGTCTGTTTCAAGCAAAGAACGTCAGTCGATTGGTCAGTCGAGGGCATATGGGCTACTTCAACTTACTGTATTTCTTCGACCACTCCGAGTATTTGCGGAAGGACTCGTCCTCCGGAACATGACGATAATGGCCAAGGAGAAAGTCGCCCGGCGGGCTCGGCGGGAGAGGCGCCTTTCTGTACGGATCACCTCTACGATAGGCTTCGGAGAGGTTCTTGTAGGCGGAGTAGGCAATGAAGAGACCGATCGCAATTCCCGCTACCGTGTCGACAGATTGCTGTATGGACTGAAAGCCAGTGGTAGGAGCGCCTGTTGCGCCTGTTGCGCTGCTGTTGCTCGTGGCCATATCCGATGACGGGCCAATGCCGAAGTCGCCCATGAAGAAATTCATCATGGTCGATAGTGAACAATCGAGAGTGGACTGATCCGGTGTAAGTCGCTGCGATATTGAATGGGTTCGTCAAGGTATGTTGCGCAAGGTATGGTTGGTGTATTCGGAAGGTGAGATGTCGTGGTTGGTTTCACGACCGAGGATGCGGACGACTGGAAGTTTGTGTTCGAGTCTGGGTTTGAGTTTGGGTGGAAGGGGAGAATTGTGGTCTCTTATGTGGTTCAGTTTCCGTTGTCGCCTGGAGCACGAACCATCTCAGGTTCGTTTTGCGACAATGAATTGGCGAGTGAATAGTGGTGAAGTTCAAGGTTGTGGTCCTCAGTTCGTCGTCTGGTGTCACTGGTACACATGGCATGTGCTGGCGGCCCGCCAAACCTTGACGGACAGCTACACTGTTCACATATTAGTATTCCATCACAGACATTGTGCATCCTACAACCAGGCTGTTGGTGTTGTTGATGGGATGGTGACTGTTATGGTGGTGGTTGCTGTGGGGACGTGTCTCAACCACAACTCATACATATCAACCTTGGTCCCATGTCGTCTTCGTCGCCATCCAAACGGAAACATTCCACGGGATCATCTTACATGCAGCGGCGCTCAGGAAGCATCCAGTCGGGAACACCTGCTAGAAGTGGGTAAGCTTCCAAGCTATTGGTCTTGGGGTGCGGCTATCTCCAGATCCCCATCTCCGGAAATCCTGCTGAGACGTATGCCATTCCCGATCCAGGCTGAGATAGGCGAAGTGGGCAGCACCTTGACGGTGGTATCGTGAGGGGAAGTTGTGTGAATGGGGGCTAGGACGCACCATCAGGTTCACTCTTCACTCAGTCGAAACGTGACAACACTCACCAAGGACTCATTTCTTTCCGTCCCAACTTTATGCTCTTGGGTCTGCTTTTCTGAGCAAGAGTTGATTGGAAGTTGAAAATCTCATCGAGAGCAACTTCCTGGACTTGCTCCAAGTTCGTCAAGTTGTGCTTTTTTTTTCTTTCCATGTCTTCACCCCGTGACCAGAACTTTACCAACTCGTACTTTCCCTTCCCATCCTCCAGGCAACGCACCTTCCACCCTAAACCCCTTCACTCCCATCCTCGTCCCCCACCTCCGCGCCTTCCTCAGCTAAAGAAATCCAGCGGGAACCCATCAGCCATAGCCTGATACCCCGCCACATTCGGATGCAAATGATCCCCGCCATCAAACTGTTTCGCCAACTGACTCTTGACACTCGGATCGCCAATAATCTTCCCAAAGTCCACCACCGCATCCAGTTGTCCCCCACTACTATTCAAAATCCACTGATTAACCTTATTCCTCGTCTGCTCCCTCGCCGGATTACTATAACTCTGTCCATTCCCTCCAAACGGCGTAATCGTGCCTCCAATAACTTTAATCCCCGCGCTCTTACACTCCTTCGCAATCTGCTTATACGCGTCTATCAAGCGGTTGCCAATCCCATTCTGACTCTCACTGTCCGTCCCGCCGCCGCCAATGTCGTTGACCCCCTCGAAAATCATGACGTATTTCACCCCTTGCTGCTGCAGCGCGTCGCGCTTGTACCTGCTTAGCAAAGTGGGCCCAAGTCCGCCGCTGAGCACGGCGTTGCCGCCCGCGGCTTGGTTGTTGACGCCAATGTGGTTGATTCCGTTCTTTTGCATGCGCGCTAACAACAAATCGGGCCACCGGTTGTTGGCGTCGTCGGTGCTGCCGCGCCCGTCGGTGATGCTGTCGCCGAGGATAGTGAAGGCGGAAGAGTTTGAGGAAGTGGGCTTCCAGGCTTCGACGGCTGGCAGAAAATACCAGTGCTTGGTGTCCTTGCCGCCGGTGATGCTGGCTTCCGAGGCCTTGTTGCCGGAGACCATCCAGCTGGTGGTGCGTGAACCCGGGTGACCGGTGATGCTACTGCTGCTTTGACCGGTTTTGAAGTACAGCGATACGGCAATGTTGGCTTGGCCGGGAACGCTGAAGTCGATGGGGTCCGTGTAGGCTACTTGGCCGCGCGGGATGGTGATGCCTTCGCTGCCGTTTTTGAAGGTGATGGGCTTCAGGGTGGTGGTGTCGATGCCGGAGACCCCGGCTTTGCCTGAGGTGGGGAGGGCGATGGTGGCGGCGGTTATGGGTAGGTCAGAGCCCCCGAAGGTGTTGCTGATTTGTAGGCGGATGCGGTCGGCAGGAAGAGAGAGGTAGAGAGTCTGACGGAGAGTGGCGTCTTTGAAGACTCCGCCGCTGGACTGTGAGTTCCAACATGGTCAGCATAATCTGATATCTGTGGAATAGAAGCATTTTGGAGTAGAAGTGACGGGCTTCTTACAAAGGGCGATGGTGGCATGTTACTCGACTCAACGAGTTGTGGCATCGATGTCCAAGAGGCTACCCAGTGGTAGTCGTTTGCAGCAGCTCCGACTGAATCACGGAGGCCCAGCAGCTCGCTGTGCGCGGCGTCGAGATTTGGCGAGGGCAAGCCATTGGCCCAGCCGAAAATGCAAAGCAATACCGTGGCAAGGCCAAATGATGTGGTGTAAACCATCATGGTACGAATAGGCCGCGATAATCGGTAGGGAACTCGGTGTTTGTAACTCGCCAGGTAAGTATAGCGCCAAGAAGAAGGACTCGGGCAGTCGTCGAAGGCATTTTGAGCCTATTTTATACATGGTCAGAGACGGACGGTGTTGGTCCGAAGGGTAATCTGAACAACCAGCTGTTTGAGTTTCACTTTAGCCAAAGACAGCCACCACGGAATTCCCCCTGCTCGCGCACACAAAGCCACCCTATTCATCCAGCGCGACATCCCGGATGGTAAGTAGGCGGTCGATCACTCGGGAGAAAATCTGGGGAAGGCGGGAACATCAACGGGGTTACATTTTCCAGAAAACCACCGAAGTGTGTAACAATCACCAAGAACCATGGAAGCAAAAGGGAACGACGCTGATAAACGGAACTTGTACTGAGTATTCTTTTCACCCCTCACTAACCCCTACTACAACTCCCGATTCCCTCCATCACTACTTGAAGAAGTAATCGCATCATCCGCCCCAGGCGACTCAACATGAGCCTTCGTCGGCTTTTCAGATCCAGGCGACTCAGGAATCAAGTGGCTCTGGTGGTGCTCAGCAGCCTTCTCAAAGTCGGCGCCGCCGATGCGCTTGCCATCCTTGTCGTACCATCTGGGTTCCACCTTGGCCTGATGCACCACGGTAAAGTATCCCTTCCACCCATCGACCTTGCGGAAGATCATATCCATCTCCTCCAACGACCGGCACGCCGTTTCAGGGTAGAAGAAATAGATGACGGGAACAATAAAGGCGTTGATGACCGCAAATATGATGTAAGTCTGGTACTTGATGTTGTTGAACGCAACTGGCGTGATCATGACAACCATAAAGTTGAAGATCCAGTTCGCCGACGTGGACAGCGCGTTGGCCGGCGCACGGATGCGGAGTGGCACAATCTCGGCCGGGTAAAGCCAGGACATGCCGAGCCAACCGATCGCAAACATGGTGTTGAAGACGAACAGGAACACGATTCCCGCAATCTGGCAAGGCTTGTCGTCCGGCCGGGAGTTGACGCCTGCCAGGATGGCCATGGTTGCCGCTTGGCCGATGGCACCGAACAACATGAGCTTGCGACGTCCGACGCGCTCCACGAGGAAGATGGCGGGCCAAGAAGCGATGAAGTACTCGGTGCCGTTGAGGGCGGCGAGGAGACGAGCCAGGAAGTCGGACATGCCGAGTCCACTGTAGATAACGGCAGCGTAGTATGTGATGAGGTTGATACCCGAGATTTGCTGGAAGACCTGGTTGACGTATGCCAGCAGCGTGCGGTGGAAGTTGCGGTCCTTGTCCATGGTGAAGAGGTCCTTGAAGCTGCCCTTGGACATCTCGACGACCGTCTCGTGGATGGAGTGGAATTCGGTGTCGACAATGGGGTCTTCGAGTTCCACGTCGTTGAGGGCGGCCAGAACTTCCTTGGCTTCCGCGTCACGGCCCTTGAAGATCAGCCAGCGAGGCGATTCGGGCAAGAAGGGGACGAAGATGACGATGAGAATGCAGAAGACGATCTGGAAGGCCAACGGGAAGCGCCAGGCAATTGAGCCGGGGGCAAAACTCAACCCGAGGTCTATCCAGTAACTCAACATGATACCGGCTGTGACGAGAGATCCTTCGATCATGACCATCTTGCCTCGTTTGTGTGCTTTTGAAGTCTCGGATTGCCAAGTAGGGACCTGTGAGGGGTTAGTGAAAGTCCTCGAAGTTGAAGCTGAGGTTGAAACTCACTGTAGATGTGTTTCCTCCATTTCCAATGCCAGTAATAATGCGTCCGATTATGAAGTGTTCGAGGGTAGTAGCGCTCGCCTGGAGAATGGCACCGATGATCATGATGGAAGTTCCGAGAAGAATGATCTTCTTACGGCCTAAGGGATTGCCAATGAAGATGGTGATAATGGCGCCGATGAAACAGCCCAAGTTGTAGGAAGCGACGGAGATGCCTTGGTAGGTGGATCTCATAGAGGATTCGTGTGGGGTGAGGCCCGGTGCGTTGGGGTTAATGTCGGGAAAGGTATCATCGAGAAAGATAGGAAGAGTGAGAATGCCGCCCATGACACCTTGATCTATTGTCACTGGTGGTTAGAACTGCTTTTGGTCATAGTTGACTCTTCAACTTTTGCCCATGACATACCGTATCCGAAGAGCAGGAAATCACATCCTGCAATTGCGCCCACGGCCAGGTTGAGGGCCTGGCCTCTGAGCCCCAGGAATTGCTTCATGGCGACACTGTTCGATACAAAGCTTGCTCAATGTCGAAAGGTATGTGAAAACACAAGAGGACCATCAGAAGCATATGCAGAAGGGCATGCCGAGATCATATATAGAGACAGCACGTCGCTGATCACATTCCTGACTTGAGCAGATCATCTTTGGTATTACCCAAAAGTAACCAAGAACCAGGAACACACCTCTCTCGGGGCTTCATGGCACGAGGAGACGAGCGTGACAAGGTAACATGGACGGGCAAGGGTAAACAGGGTCTTTGACAAACCTCTCTCATCTTTCTTTGTCAGGTCGTCGGCACTTTCCGTCTCGAGAGCCAGTAACGTCGTGTGGGCGTTATCCACAGAAATCATGTTGTTGGGTCCTTCGAGAGTCAGCAGTTGATCCCATGAACGACAAGATTCGTTCTCTCAGCTCAACCACTGTGCAGAACGCGGGGCCCCTCATTCTTCGGGCCTGAAGACCACCGAGAAGTTGTGGACTGGTGACCCTCTTTCCCCGATGAGCGAGGTGCCGTTGGCCGGCTTGGAGTCTCGCGGGTTCGACGGGCTCGGCGAATTCGTGGAGAACAGTTGAATCCGGGGGACGGAGCAGTGGGACTGGACCATGACGACGTCACCCTCGGGACCGGTTCTCGTCCTGAGTGGTGCGCATGTCCTGGCATTGGTGATGCACCTCGGTGGTAGACAGGTCTGATGGATCGACGGCTGGGCAACCTTTCTTGGGAGTCCAACAGCCCTACCCCACAGTCACTGACTGTAACTAAACCGCTTGAGACTTCATTGCCGTCCTCAGAATGCCGTTTTGGGGTTTTATGTCTGGCGTGATTGGAAGCAAGCAAGAGGAACTGGAGGATCTTCCAAAGTTCCAAGCTTTCTGACTCGTGAGCGCTCTCCCCGTGGGGATTCTGGGGAAGCTTGTCTGGGGTTAAGTCGCTGAAGAGTGGACCCTTCGGTGAAGACAAGCTTACCTTAACCTTGCCATGTGGTTGGGGACGTAGCCAAGGAAGGTCAGCAAACGATGATTTTCAGGATTGTTGCCAATGAAACGTGTGATGCCGCATGCCCGAGGATGTACCGAATCTAGCCGGCGGTGTTGTCCAGAAAACGGCGAAGTTGTGGAAATGGAAAACTCGGAGTCGTTGGCGTCGTCAAGGCGAACTATCTGATCGTTGTCGACCACATACTATCGCCGTTTATATGAAGAAGGAGAATAGACTGGAATGGTTCGGTGTTGGAGGAAAAAATACCTGACTCCAGGAAGTTTTGGGATCACCGTGAAGTTGGGGTTTTGTTGATCACATGCACCTGCCAAACAGTTGAAGCTCACTGCACTGACGATCGCAGCATTCAGATGCGGGGTAGGTACTCTCAGTGGGATACCGTTAGCACAGAACAGCATGATTCTTGATGATATAAGTGAAAGAGGAGTTATCTGGTAAATCTCCATATAAATAAACTTTCTTGAAAAGGCACATGAACACAGAGCGCTTTTCTGCATTTCACGATGTTTTAAGATTTAAAAGGAAGCCGACAAACAGAACATGACTAACGAGGTAGCCCACGATGTACCACATGCACTAACATTAACATACTGGCCCTGTGAATCTCTTCCGTACCAATTTCCTCCTTCAACTTTTAATCCCCAGCAACGTCTTCCTCCACCACTTCCCACACTCCAGCAGCGCCAGCTTCAGATTATCAGCGTGCCTGAACATGTGTCCTTCGCCTTTGAGAACGACCATCTTGACATCTCCACCGTTTCTTTCGACTTCCTGCCTGATATCCTCGCTCTGCGCAATCGGCACGACAGGGTCGGCATCCCCATGGATCAGTAGCAATGGAGAAGTGATGCGTCGGGCATGATACAAAGGACTACGCTCCCGAAACAGCTCAAACTTTTCTTCCTCGGTTTTGCCTTCGAGCCCCAGGAGTGTTTGCAGGTAATGTAGCTCCAGCTTATGCGTTTCCTCGTCTAGTGTCTTGAGGTCGCTGATGCCACACATGCTGATTCCTCCGGCAAACACGTCCGGAAATCCTGTCAAGCATTGCAAAACACAGTAGCCGCCCGAGCTCACGCCTTCGATACCGACGCGAGAACCATCAATCCGTCCGGAGTTCGCGAGATATCGGACCGTTTCGATCACATCGTCACGGTCGACTATACCAAACTCTCCACGCAGTGCCTCGCGGTACGCCTTTCCATGCGCAGACGAGCCGGTATAGTTGGAGAAGCAGAACGCATACCCTCGGCTCGTGAAATATTGCACCCTCATGCTGAGCCCTGGTGGGTTGTATGCGGTCGGCCCGCCGTGGGGTTGGATGATCAGTGGAGGAAGCGTTCCTTTTGGTCCCTCGTATTTGGGGTTGAACGGAAGCCAAAGGAACCCATGCACCTCCCGTCGTGGCTCGTCGGTCGTTGTGAATCGGATATGCTCCGGCGACGAGAAAAACTCTTCTCGCAACTGGAACCGGCTTTCAACCGAAGACCCGAGATGCTCAGACCTGAGTGTCAGATCCGGCGAGATGGCGAAACAGTAGACACCAGGTGGTGTGCGATAACCGCTGGCAATGGCTAGCACCGAGTTCTTTGAAAGCCGTGCTAGGCAGTCCATACGAATGCTCGTGTTGGTCAAAGGAGGGTCCAACTTTGTCACCTTGCGGGTTTCCAAGTTAACGTGCCACAAACTCCATCTCTCCGAATCGAACCGGGGCCGCAACAATCTCCTTGTCTGTCAGAAACACGTAACTCTGGGCTCCAACAGCCTCATGCGCATCCCCGAACTCCGCGTCTTCCCATCCCGGTAGCAGAATCGGCTCGCTATCACCCTTGTGATATTTCCACAACTGACGAAAGCCGGACTTGTCGCTACCAAAGTAGAGTTGCCCGTCAGGTCCCCATCTAGGCTCTGCAGCTGTTGATGTATCATCGCCTCCAACGATCTTCACGTCTGAAACGGTTGAGTTGGTGAGGTCAAGGTTCATCACGCTCAGCTTCGCTCCCCAGAACGGCATGTTAGGGTGGTCCCAGTGGATATGACAAATCTGTGTCATATCAGTAGGGTTGAACCGCGGGTAAGCGACGAAGTCGTGCTGTCCGCTACCCCTAAGACTCCTGACCTCGCCGGTCTCGATGTGGATAAGGACCACACTGTTTCTCACGTCTTCCGGCTTAGGATTGGTGTGGTCCTCTTCGACGGCAAGAACCCACGGTGTGCCTGGGTGGCAGTTGAAATCACCGTACCGGTGTGTTTCAGACTTGAACAAGACCTGGCGCTCCCATTTCTGTTCTTTTTCGTTTGAAATCAGTACGTTTACTGTCTTAGCGCGCGCGTCGGAGTAGATGATCTTGAATTGTTCGCCAGACCACAATGCGTACGGCAACCCTCCGTACTCGTAGAGGGAGGTCGAAGCACTGTCCTGGTAGTCATTGTCCTCGAATTTTTCTTCGAGGATATCCATAGTCCCAGTGAGAACATCCTCCTTATAGAACCTGAGCTCAACAATCGTCTGTGAGCCATCTGGGCGGGATTGAAGGGCGAAGGATCTTCCTGTTCGGGGCTGCGGAAATGCATGTCAGCGGCCAGGTTTCGTGCTTGCAGGAATCAAAGACTCACACAAACTCTGGGAGAAGTGATGTTGCAACTCCCAGCGGTCACAGCTTCTGCGGTAATCTCGCTTTCCCACTCCCCATACGGGGCAACAATCCTTTGGTCAGTTGATGCCGCCATGTTGATGGATATCGCAATTATCCGACTCGGTCGCTCTGTCAAGATGGTGAGTTTCTGGAGATTTGATATCGTCGGCCGATTTGGTCTTCCAGCAGACCACACTAAGAAGACATGAGTGAAGCTGACAGTCTAGTGTTGGGTTAACAATTGCGATAGGGTGACAGTCATCATAAAGCCGTGCCTTCCCTAACTCTGTCGCAGACCGCAAGAGGAACCGGTGAGCGGATTCTCTGTGCCACCGACCCCTCATCATCTTTCTAGCTCGGATTTGGTAGCACAGAGTCATCTCTTCGAGACAGGTCTGCTGCACAACGTTATCGACCACCTACCGCCGTGACAAATGCCACTGGGTGCTGCCTGGCATCATCTTAAAACTCCTTTGATTCGATAGCGTATATTATTACCTCCTCTCCGGCAAAGTCTGCCTCCCGTCTGTTGAGATTCCTTCATAAATCATCTATCATCCCATCTTGGGCAGTCCAGCCCTTATACCCCCTCATTGCCTCACAATCCAGGTAATTATTCTCGATGAACGGCGTCGCCACTTGCACCCCGTACACATCCGTCCACTCCCACTCCCGTTGCCCTCCTCGACTAGCGTCGTCCGAGTCCGAACCTGATGGGTCCGAATCCGAGTCCGAATCTAACTCTCCTTCTGCAACAAACGGAAACACATTAACGGCTTTAACCCTCCCTCTTACCGGCACCGGCGCAAACTTTCCCCTAGACATGGACGTGTCGAAAAGCCGGATCATGTTATCGCAAGTACCGCCTGGACTGGCAAAAGTAGGTTGGTTGGTGATGTTTTTGAAGAAGTCCAAGGAGTAAGGAGGACTGCCAGAGTTGGACTCGAAAGAGGAGGAGGAAACGAGACGGGTCATCTCCAGCTCTATCGACATCTCGTTCTCTTTGCTCAAATCGACATTGTCCTCAACAGAGGAGTTAGTACCCAAGGCGTTGAATGCGGTCGAAACCCCCTTGAAGTACGTATTCCCATTCAGCAGCGCTCTATAAGCCTCACACTCAGGCTCAAAACTCGCCGGCGAAACCCGCGTCCCGTAGGCTCGCGAGCCGTCAATGGCGATGTCGTTGCCGACGCTGATCAACTGCGCCGGAGCCCAGCGGTAGGAGGAGTAGCGGTCGCCGGAGGGGCCGGAGGGGGAGAGGAAGGGGAATTCGAAGCCGATGCGCTGTGGGTTTCCACACATTAATCATCGACTCACTGTCTAAGGCAACAGGGAACAGAAAGACATACAGAAAAATCCTCCAACACAATCCCATACGCCCTCAGCTGAATATCATGATCATGCGCCGCTTGCAGCAAAACGGGGTACATTCCCTCGGGAAAATCGGGAACGAGGGATCTATATGCCAATTCGAGGATGGCGTATTGTGAAGGGACCAGCCGGCGAGCGAGGAATAGGGGGATGGGGATGATGACCCCCTTGGTAAGTCTTTTGCCATCTCCCATCTCCATTTTCCCCTTCCTCCACTAATACCTTCGGCCACTGCAGGGAACTCTTGAGATGCCCCACCTGTCGAGTGTTCCTTCCTTGGGAAAGATCCAACAGCAGCAGCAGCAGCAGCAGAGTGTTCCTTCCTTGGGAAAGATGGAAAAAATCTGCTGCTGCTGCTGGATCTTTTACCCTTCTTGTTGGTTCCTCTCTGTTTTTGTTTCTCTTCTCTTGGTAGTTGTCCCCATCTAGAGACAAAGCCATCATGGTTCAGACCAGAGCGAGGACAGCAGCTGTCGCAGCTGCCACAGCAGCTGTCGCAGCTGCCACAGCAGTCGGCAAGCTCAGCGACGAGCTGAGCGAATATGAAGGCTTCAACGAAGATGAAGACTTCGACTTCAACGAAGATCAAGACTATCCGGAGCTACAGGCAACATGGGAAGCGACATTCATCGAAAAGACCTTCGCTGCGTACTGTTCCTGGGTCGGTGGCCGGAAGTCTTCAATCCGCAAGCAACTGCCGTCGACGCAAGTGCTCTGGGAAACGGTACTTGACATCCAATTGTCGTTCAGCCCCTGCCTCTCGAATATCATACAAGCACACCATCCGCAACACTCGATGCACTGAAATCCCTGCCAGAATTTTCGTATGCCGACGAACCCGCTTGGACGGTGTATCTCCTCATTCTTGAACATCCAGAGCACCCACCCATGGTCTATGTCGGTAGCGGGACCGACATGAAGAAAGGCACACATAAACGCTTCAAGGACTATGACAGGAACTACCAGTTGTCGAGTTTGACGGCCATTGCGCGCAAAAACGGCCATCATATCTCCAACAAGAAAATTCTGATGTCGGCCCAATGCCCAGAAGCATATTTGGTTCTTCCCGGTCGCGCTCTCTTTCTCATTGTCGAGACAGCAATGTCACATGCGCTTTGCGCATACGAAGACAAAAGTATCCTCGACACAAACCTGACGAATCACCAGTGGGGTTTGGCGGAATATGAGGGGCTATGTTCGCATCACTCTTGGTATGAAGGACTCCGTTTTGGCGATTGGTTCACAGAAGGCTTGTCCAAATCCGAACTGTCGGCAGCCTTGGCCCGGTCATCAGCCAAACGGCTGGCACAGAGACTGGCCAAGCGCAATGACAAGAAGGAGGATGTCATTTTGGCATCGAGGGCGCGTTGGCAGTCGATCAAAGAAGACCCTGTCAAGCATGCCAAACATATTGCCATGACAAAACGGTGGCGTGACGCCAACAGGGAGCACCTCAATGCGAAAGAGAGGAGGAGGAGATTGAAGTTGAAAGCCGACCCTGTCAAGTATCGTCAACATCTTGACAGGAGGAATCAGGTCTATCACCAAAACAAGGACCGTTCTAATGCGCGTGCTAGGGAGTATAGGGCCGCAAACAAGGACAAAGTCACTGCGTCAGAACGTCAGTATGCTGCCGCAAATAGGGACAAAATGAATGCGTCACAACGTCGGTATGCTGCCGCAAACAAGGACAAAATCAATGCGTCAAAACGTCGGTATGCTGCCGCAAATAGGGACAAAATCAATGCGCGTGCTAGGGAGTATAGGGCCGCAAACAAGGACAAAGTCACTGCGTCAAAACGTCGGTGGGCTGCCGCTAACAGGGACAAAATCAGTGTTGCAAAGAAGAAATCCCGAGCTTCATCAGGTCTTGATGGAAAAGACTCCCGTGGCGTTGTTAGGGAAGGTGGTGGCTAGGGGGTTGGGTTGGTCGTGGGTGGTTTTGCAGATGTTTTGGCTGTCGTTCTCCTGCGGGTTTTGGTATTGTGGTTGTTGTGGTATTGGGGGTTGTTGTTGGGTTGTGGTGGTGGTAATCGATGCTGATGATGTGCCTGCTTGGCTGAGAAGAAGGGCAGTTGAGAAGACGATGAGGACTGCCGCCACGATGTGGAGGAGTGGCTTTTGGAGTGACATTAGAGTCGCTTTGGATGAAGAAGATGCTTCCCGCTGGCGACGAAGGGTCCTGACCCGGGGGGGATGGAGGGGGGAGCTGAGTAGAGGGAAGCGTGAGGGTGACATGGCCACAACACCAGGTGAGACTTGCTCAAGAGGTGAGAGATGGTGAGATGGAAATTAAGCAATAGACAAACGATGAACGTCGAAAAGAGGGACAGGAGAAAAGGAGAAATATATGAGGGATGAAGGACGAACACTAAACCTACTCGACCCGGTACTTGAACACTTACCATCCCAACAAGACATTCATTATCTCCGGTCAGAGAGCTCCATCTATTGATTTTCTTTTTACCCATACCATCCCATCCCCATTTGGGGGTCGGCCGGGTATCAGCATCCTCAATACCTTTTGGAGTACGTGTTTGTTATGTGTTTCCAAAAACCCTCTAGAGATCCATATACAGACAGACACTTGTCAAGTAAAGCCTGCGACTAACAGTAATCTAAATGTATTTCCTGATCGGGACGGAATTCTGTAACATGTCTGATGTTGCTTCACTCAAAGCAGCCAAGACTCAAGGGTGGGTGGACAAGAAACGGCAGCGAAGTTAGCCGAGCACCATAACTGACAACTGACTAGAGTACAGTAGTCGGGTGTTCGTTTCGGATGTAAGAGCTTGCGAGACAAACTTCCTTGTTACATCCAGTCAATATGTAAGGGAAGTCGTTGTGAAGTTGTGGGTACGACCAGAATCTTGGGCCCCGGGTTGGTTCCGGTTCCCGAACGGGTTGTCGCGTGCCGGTCCGGTTGTGTTAGTGGTGAATGGAGGTGATGTGCAGGGTAGGTAAACTATTTTTGGGATCCTTGCGAACCTTATCGACAGGTGGGTATTCTGAGTTCAAGGACGGCCGAAGGATGTTGTTATCTGATTGACCCAAAATGTCCACTTACCCGTCAATAACTTCACTGCAGGACGTTCATACCTACAAGTTGTGCAATCATACTTTGTTCTCAGTTCTCACCTCAGCCCAAATCCCTCAAGCGGCGCGGGAGTGAAATTTGCCGACCCGACCACAACGGTATTACCTTCTCAACGCCACGTGAATATTTCCTTATGATTGTGAATCTTGCTACGGGTGTCTAGTAACCGTTGCAATTCGTGGTCTAGAACGGCCACATGATTTCTTATTTTCCGAGAGTGCCGCCGATCTCTCTCCGTTTCTGTCTTGCAAGTATAGCCGGGGCGAGCAGTCAGCTAGGCGGTGGTCGTGACGGCGACGGCGGCGGCGGCCCGCAGGTCAATCCGGATCTTGTTCTTTCCGGTGTAAGACTTCCCGGTGGGAATTGTAGTGTGTGGTGTGTAATTTGATTGATTTGCTAACAGGTGGTGGCTGAAATGGTCCCGCCGACTCTTGGTGTTTACCGTCGTCCTTCGTGGCTGATAAAAATATTATGCGGCTCTTCCCCTTTGGCAAAGGTTTCTGGTCGTGATAATTGTCGACGAATGATTTTGTGTATGCTTGGGGTCGATCCTCCTTCTCTCGTTCCAGGAGGTGTATTGGAGGTGTTTCAAGGTCTCTGTCTCAAGGAGGTGAGATTACCGAGACAATATTGCCCCGTGCTTGCCGCCCGGCAACAACTGTTAGCATTTTGGGTCAAGTTCTCCTTTCCGCGGATGGGATGAACTGGTAGAATTCCATCGCCTAGATCAAGTCCGTCAAGTTCTCGCTAATGATACATTGTATGGGGTATATACCTTTATCTCATCATACATGTCACTCACCACTGCTACTGTACATACCTCGCAAGGATTCATTCCCTTCAACTTCCCCGGGCCCATCTTCATAGCGCTCCACCAACAAGCTGCACAATCATCATCGCAATCCTCACCTTCAGCCCAACCCTCCTCTCCGTTTTGGCGAAATCCTCCCGCGTCACCACCGTCGCATTATCCTGCAACCACCTCTGCTCCTCGCCCAGCCTCTTCTTCAGGTCCTCGTTCTCCGTCACAATGAGCGCATTGGCTTCCAAATCAAGCGAGTAACTCCTCTTGGTGTAGTTGGAGCTACCAATCAGGCTAATGCTGGGATTCTCGTTCTTGGGCATGGTGACCCAAAGTCCCTTGGCATGGTACGTCCACCCACCGGGCTCGCCAACCGTGCCCTTCCTCCACTCCTTCAGCACCGTGGTGCCCCGGTGCTTGGATTCGTGCACGGCGCGGACGAAGCGACGCGCCAGGAGGGTGTAGGCGTCGGGGAGGAGACCGGAGACGCCGGGGGACTTGTAGAAGCCGTTGGCGAAGGGCGAGGCGGTGATGACGACGTTGTTGGTCGAAGCGGTGCCCAGAAGGAGCTTGGTCAGGGAGGGCGCAGGGTTGAAGTAGCCGGCTGTGAAGGTCCAGGACGAATTGGCGTACTCTGGTGCCGCTAGAGTCCGTAGGACATGGCTGACGGCGGGAAGCTCGGTCGAGGTGTCGGGCGACAGAAGCTGGGAGAATTGCGCAAGCATGTAGACCGAGGTGTCGCGCTTCTCGGCTGGTGTGTCGTCGAGTGCGGTCCGTGGCGCTGTCTTGGGCGAGATGAGGCCGGATAGGAGTGCGGTCGACTCGGCGACGAACTTGTTCGGGTTCTCGAGTGGGGAGATGGCCGAGTTATCCTCTGGCCATACTAGCTTGAAGCCGGACGGGTCGGAAGAGGGCTTGACGAGGAAGCTCAACGATGAAACGGCCGTTTGAAGGTTCGAGAAGTACTCGGTGATGTCCCTGCTCGAGTAGACATGATAGCGATCCTGCCTGTCTGAAAAGTAGTCGCTCGAGAGGTTGGCGCCAGAGAGAATGATCTCATCGTCGATGCCGTACAACTTCATATGCTGCAGTCCCCATCCTTCGTTTATCCTCTTGGGGATGTGCTTCTTCCTGAGTCCGGTAAGGTTTGGTGTATGGTACATGCGGATCTCGACACGATCAGAACCGAACTCGGAGATCAAGGGCGCGAGAAGGGAGGCGCATGACGGGTTGGGCGCTTCACGGGTCCCGCGCAGGGCGTCAGTGAGGATGCTGAGCTTCAGATCGGGTTTCGCGCGGAGGGCTTCTTGTAGAGTCGCAATCTGAAGCAATGCGCAGTTATTAGCATATGGAAGATCTGATGCGTTATGACAAAGGTTCCTGTACCAGTTCCTTTTCCGACTTGCCAATGTAGAGGGTCGAGAGGAAGATGCGCTTCTCTGCCTTGCGGATCTTGTCCTGGTGAGTGGGAAGGCATCAGTCAGCACTGCTAGCTGACAACACAAGCCTTCTCCCGGCGGCAGCAGAAGTTTGTCGAACCTTGAGGGTCTCGTAGAACTCGGTCGGTGTTTGTAAAACGCGAACTTGGGAGCCGTTGATCCTGAAGGACGGGGCTATCTTGTCGAGCTCGCTGGTGAAGGGCGCAAGCAAGCCGGCGCTGGAGGGGTTCGGACCGCTGCTATGCGACGCCCCGGAGGACGGCGAGGAGAACTGTCGACATTGTGGTCTGGCTACTCGTAGACTGAACCGCGAAGCCGGTGCTCTAAGCTTGGTGCAGCATCGTGAAGTACTCCTTGCCAGCATATCCGCAATAAGCTGGGGTGTTTTTGTCCAAGACGGGAACCGGGATGTTGTTGTCGAAGTTGTCTTGTCTGTTTAGATTGGCCAAATTTTGGGGTGCGGGCATTCCATCCCCTCGGTTATCGCGCCGATGACCTAGCGACGGGCGCCGGTACAGTACAGGCGGGCCAATCCACTGAAGACGCGGGATGACCGCCCGCTGACGGGAAGGAGTTGTGGGGAGTTACAAGGCTATCCGGGGCCCGCCTTGGCATTTCCCTTTGAAGGATGTCATGTCATGGGCCAGAGCTCCCAGCTCTTTGCCAGCCGCCAGTCTCCCCGTTGCGGCCTGTTGCAACTCCAACTTTCAACTCCACGACCGACCGACCGACGCCATCGCCGACGACAGCAACCCCGGAGGAGCTCGCTCTGATTCCACACTCCACGGCGCACAATCGCAATTGACTCCACTCTCCGCGAGTCAAGACAACAACAACCATGTCTACCATCAGCAGAACGATTCGCAACCTGCGCAAGGTTGGCTTGAAGGTATCGTCTTCGTCCATCAATAATGCGAAAATGCGCCGTCGCTAACGATAAACCTCGTGATTCCAGGATGCCTGGCACCAAATGAACGTACGTCTACACCCATCATCTCCCGTCGATTGAGTCCGGTCCAGACCCGACCACGATATCCCGGCGAACAAACGAGTACATACAGAGAGAGGGCCACAGCTACTAACACCAACGTTGCTGCTCTCCACAAACAGTATATCGGTATGGAGCCATATCTGTCCCTCAGGGTGCATACTTACTTACACTAACTCCGTAACAAAACAGGCGACACCAAAGCCGGCACCCTCGTAGGCGTCGACAAGTTCGGCAACAAGTACTTCGAGAACCAGGAGGAACTTCCTCTCCGCACGCGCTGGGTCGACTACGCCAAGCACGACTACGACCCCTCGCACATCGAGCCGCTCTGGCACGCCTGGATCTCGTACGCCATCGACACGGTGCCCACGCAGGATCCCATCGTGACCCAGGCGCCCAAGAGGCCTTGGGCCCCGCAGGTGCATCACCCCAACTATACCATGACGCCGGGGGCTTTTAAGACTTATAATACGTATGTTTCTTTCCTTCATGGTCATGGCCAGAATATGGTGTAGCTGTGTGCTGATGACAGGTCTAGTGTCAAGCCCAAGCTTCAGTCGTGGGAGCCTGTTGCTGCTCCTAGACGCTAAATCTAGTTTTGGTGGTGACTGGTGAGAGAAGGTCTCTTGAGAAGAAGGTGTACATATGATGGACGCTTAGAGAGATGTGAGTGTGTCTTGGCTTGGGGAGGTTTATCCGGAGCAACAGAACGTCATAGGGAAGAACAGGACCTATAGAATGCATATACCTCCAGGCTCCAGCTCACAGAAACTCGGAATCCCATCATCGGCGTACCAAGAAAGTGTCTATATATCGGTAACCCATAAAACACCCGTTGCCCCGGTCTTCTACTTATGCTTTCCCTCCTTCCTTGCTTCCTGTCCAACCCATCCATCCATGCCATGCCGTATTTACATGCAAGAAAAGATCCTCTTCCCCCCTTTTTCCACGCGTGTTTTTCAGACTTTCCCACCTCAAGCATCAAGACCGTCAAGCTCGACAAGCTTTACCACCGTCTTGATGATATCATTCTTCTCGACATCCAGCGCCGGATTCTCGACCTTCATTGTGATCAACTTATCAATCAGCCCTCTCAACCTCGACACCAGAACACCGATACGGGCCCATCCGCGGAGGCGCAACCAGCCATCAACTACGAGACCACGGCCCTGTGTATCCAAGTCAATGGCACCCGAGAAGAGGAGGAGGGTGTAGGCGTTGAAAGCTATTTACGGTGTCAGTAATCCCAGTGTTACAAGAAAATGCGGATATGGGAACAAAACTTACGCGTAAGATCCCTGATAAAGATCTTGCTGGTGGCAATCTTTGTGAAATACGACATGAACGACGCGTTGCCCGTGAATCCCTGGCTATCAAACAAGGTACTGCTAGGATGGATGAACACCCTTCCGTTCTCCTGCGAGAAGAACTTGATGGTCTTGGCCTCCGGGTCCAACTCCACGGCACCGGTCATGGACGCCGCGAACTTCTTGTCGGGGAACTGGATCCGGGCGATCTGCGGGCTGAAAGCCGAGGCGGTTAAGGCGCGCAGGAGGGCCATGGACTTGGTTTGCTGGTTGTTATACTCGGAGTAGTTATATGGGATGATTCCCATCTCCTTCAGAGCCGAGTAGTACTGCGAGCGAGTCGAGGCGATGTCGGACAGAGTCTGGTAGTTGAGGAAGTTGTCGCCACACCAGGCGCGCACCCGACTCTGCCCCATGCGCTCGTGCATCTGGTCGTTCCACTCCTGGAAGGCGCGGAGGTCGGTGAGCAGGTCGCCGTCGCCTTGGGAGAACCTCTTCCTGGCTTCCTTGGCTTCCTCGCGCTTTTCCTGGGGTGAGACGAAGGGGCTCTTGGTGCTCAGAATGGCCGCGATGGTGACGCAGTCGTCGAGGCAGCCGAAGATGGAGCCGTAGACCATCAGCTTGCCGCACCGCAGATCGGCGGGGATCATGGCCAGTTGCTGACCGAGGGCGGTCAATTCCTCGCCATCGAGGGCTCCCATCCGCCGGAGCATGGTGATAGATGCCTCGACGGCTGTGGCCTCGGGCGGCGTGGGCGCACGAGAGAGAAAGTGACTGACGTCTTTGATGCCCATTGCCCTCACAGCCAAGCACAGCTGCTCCAAGGGAACACGCCGGATCTCTGGGTCGGGACGCTCGGCCATCTGCATCTCCAGGTTTCGGGTGAAGAGCTTGTAGCACTTGCCTGCTTGGACACGGCCGGCACGACCACGACGTTGCTTGCAAGCGGCACGAGAGGCCCACGTCTCCTCGAGCTTACGCATGTTGTTCTGCGGGTCGAACGAGGTCTCCTTGACCCTACCGCTATCGATGACTGCGACGATATCATCGATGGTGATGGACGTCTCGGCGACGTTGGTGGCAATGACCACCTTTCTCTTGCCTGGTGGAGCGGCCGCAAACACCCTCTTCTGCTCTTTGGTCTCCAAGGAGGCATGGAGAGGGAGAACATGGAGAGAAGGCACCGCTCGCAGAGCGTTGCAGGCGCGGTTGATTTCAGCAACACCGGGGAGGAAAATCAGGATACCACCAGCCTTCTGAGTCTCGGCGAGGTCGCTATCAATGGCACATACGGTCTCCACAAGGAGGTCGTAGTTGATGCGGCTGCCCATTCTCTGGATGATCTTGTTGATGGGGTCATCATTGGGGTCTTCCTTAGACCTGCTGCCAGCGTTATCGTCATAGTAGTATTCGCGGTTGTTACCAATGCTGAAGCCCGTCATGTGGATTACATCGTCAAGGTAATAGTCCTGAACAGGGTACGTCCGGCCAGAAATCTCAACAAGACCAACCGAAACATTCTTTCCATCAACGGTAAAGTAGTCCTTGAAAGACGCGGCATCAAGCGTGGCACTCATAAGAATGAGCTTCAGGTCCCTGCGCTTGTACAAGACATCGCGAATAATGGCAAGCAGGAAATCAGTATCGAGACTGCGCTCGTGCACCTCGTCGACCACCACGTGGCTGACATCGGCAAGAGATGCAACCACGTCCTCGACACGGCCACCCGATGTCTGGAGGCGCCGGAGCAGCACACCAGTGGTGACGAAGGTGATCCTGGTGTTCGGGCTCGTCTTGCTTTCGCCACGGATCGAGTAACCGACTTCTTGGCCAACCTGTGAACAGCGCTCGTCGCTGACTCTGTCCGCCAAACCCAGGGCGGAAATACGGCGAGGTTGTGTGACAATGATATTCGCGCTCTTTCCAAGTCCCTTGCTGTACAGATCATCCAAAATGAACTGGACGGACTGCGTAGACTTTCCGGAACCTGTTTCTCCAGAGATGATAGTGACTTGATTTTCTGAAACCGTCTGGACGAGGTAATCCTGTACCTGCCAGGCTGGCAGATTCTGCCGTGCGTACAGCATCTTCTTGTAAGAGGGAGTTTCCGTTCTGGCACGCCACTCCTCCGTGCTACGAGCATCAGGCGTCCAGTTGATAGGCTTGGGGTAACGAGGGGTCCTGCGTGCCCGCTTAACGACCCTCTTGGGTTCCTCAGAAGCTGCGGATGCCACAGCGGCAACTTCACGGATGCGACCGGGCTTTTCGATGATGTCGTTGATGTTTTCTTGCACCCAGCTGGCAACGTAGAAGATCTTCATCTCCTCGCCTTCCAACGTGAGAGCGTATGCAAGTGCCTGCTTGATGACACTGAGCTTGATGTAGGATGGAAGAGCAGCTACCATGGCCAGAATAACCTGAGTAGGATATTGCTCTGATTTGCGGAACTGAACGCAGGCATCCACGTTCGTCTGGGTGCCATTCTTGACACCCTCCAGCTTGATCTCGCAGACTTCTGGAGAAGTCTTGGAAAACTTTTCGCCGAAGCATGCCTCCAACGTGGCCATCTCCTCTTCCCAGCACTCATCGGCATCCCTCCAGGTGTCTAGACCATCCGCGTCCGCAGAAGAGTTATCAACGGACTCGGAGCCGCTGGCCAGAAGAAGCTTCTGCAGATCTTCTGCCGCCTTAGCCTCATCTCCGTTATGGAGCGCCAAGAGCTTGCGACAGAGGTCAATGGAGTATCCGGACTGAGCGAGTCGCGTAATGGCACCCTCTCTCTTGAGATCAGTGGCAGCGACAGTAACGCCAGCGCTATACTTCTCAGGAAGAGCCCATCGTGGAAGGTCATCTTCAGGAATATGGACCAAGAGCCATTCCAAGGCCTCTTCTCTGTCCTTGCACTCCTCAACGGCCTCTTCGATATGGCTTTGGCGGAAGCCCAGATCCTTGAACTCCTTAACGATGGCGGCCTTTTGCGGTGCCGCCATGACCACCCCATTCGGATTCCACACCGTCTCCCTGCGAAGAAGATCCTCCAGCTGCGATCGTGTCTTGTTGCCCATCTCGATCTTGGGAACATTGGCCCATCCCCTCATGACATTGTGGGCGCCGCCACCACCTCCGCCTCCGGAGCCGCTGCCCCTGAATGCCAAGGAAACACCGGGTTCGTTTGCGGCCTTTTCCTTGGCGGCCTGGAGCTGAGCTCTCTTCTTCTCGGCGGCGGCCTTTGCCTCCTCGCGCTCTCTCAGAGCCTGGAAGGGGTCGGCCTCGTACATCCATGCCTTGCCCTCCTTGACATCCTGTTTCTTGAGGGCCTCAAATTCCTTCCAGAGCGACCTGTAGTCTGGCGGAAGCGTCATGTGCATGTTCTTCATGCTGCAAACGCGGTACAGGGCGTAGGTAGCGGCGAAATGCTTGGCCTCGAGGGCAGTGGGCTTGTAGGCAAGGTGCACATGGCTCGGAGGCAGCTTGAATGGCGGCAGCGTGGTGACTTCCTGCGTCTTTGGGTTCTTTGCACTGAGCGTAACAAAGACAGAGAAACCATCCTTGGTCTTGATGGTGTTGTAGTCAGGTCTCTCCCACTTTTGCTTCTGGCAGTGCTCCGAAAGAAGGTTGACGGGTAGCTTGCCGGTCCAGGAGTGGCCACCAATGATTTGCTTGATCGTGGGCTTCGGGGGCCCGGCGTCAAGCTCCTCGGCGGGTTTGGATGGACCAGCTTTAGCTCCTCCCCTCTTGCCCTTGGGTTCCTTGTCGGAATTGCTGAAGACAATGAAGTCGCCCTCTGATGGGCCTGCGGCCTTCTTGGAGTCCTTTTTGGATTTGGAGGCGGGTTGAGATGCTGCCGACGATGAAGCGGCTGCAGGCGCAGGGGCACTGCTCTTGGTCCCCTTTTTGGCCATATTTGCGACGCTAGTGTAGATTGCCTCCCACGATAAGAATTCGATGTTGTGTTTCCGAAAATCACTCGTGGTTCAAGCGTTGCAGAAAAGGAAAAAGTTGAAGCCGAAGAGTTGGCCGCGGCGAATGACACCCACAAGAACTGCACCAAAGCTTGCGCCGCTGTCCATTTCTGTCAGAACTCGTAAAATAAGTGTGAGAAAGAGGGCCGAAAGGATCTGGCCCGATAAAAGTAAGAAGCCGAAGGTGGAAAGTGAAAGCGGTGTCGTCTGCTTGTAGTTGTTGGTTTGCCAGACAAGAAATTCGATCCCTGCGGTTTGACGGCAAGCACCGTGACCGTTGACGGCGAAAAAGCAGGACCTGGCGGCAGAGTCACTGCAAAGACAACGCTGCACTGGGCAGCGGTCAAAAGTGGGTCCGTCCGGACATGACTTGCCATTTCGTACCTCTTTCGTGAAGATTGCCACAAAGGATGTCTGTGTCAAGTTAACTACTCAACTACTTTATACAGTGTATTTCTATCTCTTTCTGTATACAAACCTATGGCAGAATTATGAAGCTGGAAAAGTACCCCTAGCAATTGCCGTTGTCCAGGAATTGTTTGATAAGAGGTTCTTCGGGTTACGTACGAGACGAGTGGGGCCGTTCAATGTCAAGATGCTGTTAGGGTTGTGGTTAGGGTTTATAGCAGTACTTACACAAGAGTCGGGACCGGGAGGGGTTCGCGCAGAAACACTGCATTTTACCTTTACAACCATTCCAGTTATCCAAGATATTTGAACAAATCAGAAATGTTTCACCCGAAAACCATCCGTCTATTTCCCAAATTGCGAACAAGCAATTCTCTACCAGGGACTTTGCGTCTGTGAGTAGGCTTGTACCACCTTCGGCCCGGGACCGCAAGGCTCCGACCTGTGTAAACATCCACGGGGGCATCAAAAGGCAAGCGCGTCTCTCGCCGGACTACATAACTCTGCGTCTTCTTCGTGTCCAGTTTGATCCAACTTTCCGTCCTCTCTCTGCCCTCCGTCCTTCCTCCTGGTGGGGCAAACCTCGGGTTCCATCTCTTTGAATCTCGATACCTCTATCATCTGAAGTCTGTTGTAAGTGAGTTGCAACTTTCACTGCTTCTCGTCCACCACCATATCAAATCTCGGACACTGTCAAACTACTACCTTCAACTGCGGGGTTACCAAGATTCAGTTACATCTACACTATTGCCTGCTATTCGGAGTAGTACTTAGATGCCTCCAGCTGGGTTGTACCTCCTGCCTTGTTTGTCTTAGCAGGCCTTCATCGTGTGTTCATTTCTGTTTGCCCGTCCATCGTTCTCATTCTATTCTCACCTCACCAACATGAGTAGCGACAGCAATCAGAACAATCCCAAACGCGCTCCCTACGTCGTGCGCGAGACTCCAGTACCACTCCCCTCATACGCTGGTGTGCCCAACGTCCAGACCTCATCTGCAGCTCCAGCTCCAGCTCCAGCTCCAACTCCAGCCCCAGCCCCAGCCCCAGCACAAAGCCAGCAACTCCAACAGTCAGGACCACCGACTGGTCAATTACTTCAAGATTCAACCCTCCCAACCGTGAAACCACCTACTGAACCCACAGATAATAGCAACACAATGTCGTCTTCAGGCCGGCAACTAAGGAGTAGGCGAGCTCCTCCTCCACCCTCCGAGCCGCCTTCGAAGAAACGAAAAGCTACATCATCCCGAGCCGCTCCTGAACCTCCCCAGGAACCGGCCCAACTCGTCCCGCCACCCCTTCCACAAGATGGAGAAGGACAACCAAAAGCCACCAAGGAAATGCCAATCCTAAGACCTCCTCTCCCAACGGGTGGTGCGTCGCCGCCGCAGCACCCCGACGATATCTACCGTATGCCTCCTCTCCCCCCTTACCTTTCCGTTCAGCCGCGCATCTGCGAGCCGGCCGACAACTACCGGGGCTGGACCACCCCCCTAGAATTCAGCTACAAGATGAACGTGCACCCGCTCACCTTCTACGGCTCCTTCGACATCTGGTTCGAGCAGGTCCAAAAGATGGCCGAGGCCAGCAACTGCTCGATAGAGCTGAACACGCGCATCGGCAAGTTTCCCGATCCGGGCACCGTCGAGGCCTTTATCTGCCAGACGCGCTTCCTAAGCTGCTGGCGGATCCTACACGGCACCATCTCGGGCGCCTACTGGGCCTACATGCGCGTGCTGGGCTACAGCCGGATTCCCGTGTTTACGGGTGCCGACGCCGAAGGCGGCGTGCAGTCCGCCGGGTGTCAGTGGCAGCCCCAGCCGTCGGACTGCGTCTACTTTGCCCTGGAGGTCAAGAAACGCGTGATGGTGCCCAACTCGGAGCAGCAGCCGCGGTACCAGACGATGAGGATGGTGGAGGAGGTGCGGTCCGCGAAAGTGATGGACTACCCGAGCGTGCAGCAGTACAAGGAGGGCATGGCCTGGTTGAAGGAGGTGTTGAATGGCATGATTCTCAAGGGCGACAGGCAGGTGTGCGAGTCCATGTATGATCGGAAACCGGACTGGGCGCCGGAGTGGCCGGAGGTGCCGTCGGGCGGGGAGGTGGAAACGCCTTGGGCTTTGAAGGGAAGCCCGGTGCGAGTGGAGGATGCGTTCGGCGGGCCAAACGGGACAGCTGGAGCAAGCAGCAGTTCGAAGAACGCCGGTCACATTTGGCAACAACAACAACAACAAGAACATCAACCTCAGCAACAATCTGCTTTCCAAATCGATCCTAGACTGGAAGGATCTTCTTCGAACCAACAACACCAACAGCAACAAAACAACCACGCAATAGCCCGCCTAGCACCCATGAGCGCCTCCTCCAGTGACGGCGACTACAGCTACGGAAACGACGGCTCAGTCGACTACGCGAACAGCACCAACAACTTAGTCTTCATGGACGGCAGACCGCCAGCGCAGCTGCCGTCGCAGCCGCCGAAGCGCACGGCTTAGGTGCCCCTGGTCCGAGTAGAAGCCACCATCGAGAAGAGAACAGCAATAATGACGGCAGCGACAATAATTTCAACTAGGGGCAACACGAGATGCTATTTTACGAGGGAAAATGGCAATCATTGATCGCAAGGGAGGCGGCAAAATTATCATGTGCGAATATGAGTCGGGGCGGCGATTTTATTCCGTGGGGGAAGAAGATAATATCCTGGTCGAAGTCACGGTGGCCCAGGAGAAGAGGAATAAGAGGAATCAGGACTGCAATCTGATCTGGAGGGGGAGAATGACGGCGCTGCGACGACGAAGACGACTACGGCCGCAGAGGCCGCAGCGGCTATGGCAACAACAATCGTAAGAGAGGAGGACAACGCTGACTAAGGGCACAAGCACTGGTAATGGGCTCATCGATGCTTATTGAACTTTTTTTTCTATTCTTTTCTTTCCTTATTCTTGGTTCTCAGTACCGTAGGGGCGGCGGTTGGGCTAGGTTAGGGAGTCAGGCACTTTGTTTGGATGGATGGGCAAAATGAACGGAACAATTGGGCAAGGTGAAACGGGACTTCAAGCATGGAATTGGCGCGGAGTTTTTTCGAAAGCGGTGATGTTTTTTGGGGGGGCTTTGTTGTTTGTTTCGATGACCTAGGTATACGGAATTATCATGAATTGTTAATTAATGGTGGCATAGGCACGTGGGATGGATGAGGGATGCATCAAAGTTAAGGTTCTTCAGCCACGACGAAAACGACAACAACGCAAGTCAAGTTTGATACGAACTCAACAATAACAAAATTTCGCTAGCAGCTGCCTAAACAGCCTGATCCGAGGAACCTTGATGGAGATGACGTGAAATGCACCGCAAGAAGTATACGATCAGTACGCTCGAACTCGAAATCCATTGTCAACTAACAATACAACCTAAACCCGCGCTTTCTAAACCGTTATCCCTTTCCCTTCGTTTGAAGCCAGTCTTTACCACCGTGTCCTGCTCTGGTGATGATGCTGGCTGATCAACAAATGACGGCGGTGGTGCTTGTGACTCTGAATTGACATGGCCCTGGTCTGCCTGTTGGCCTCCTTGATCGCTTTCGTCTGGTGCCGGGTCGATTTGTGGTGCTGGTGGTGAAGACGCTTGATAGTCGCAAAACGATGATGAAAATGATGATGACAGAAAATGCTGCTCTTTTTCTTGCTTTATACGCGGTGGTGGTTCCGGGGTCCCTGGTGGTAAGAATAGCGGTCGAGATGACGGCGGTGGTTCTGGAGGATCCGAGCTCAGGGCAACCACTATGCAGTCCAAAATTTGCTCCTCCGACTCCTCCACTATTCCTTCTGTTTGTTCTTCTCCGGACTCATTGCCCAAAGTCGACCACTAAGCGCTATCAATGGGAATGTCCTTCAAGTGGCGGTTAGTTACAAAGGGGTCGTGCAACAGGATGTTTCTTACAGGATGCCATTGAGTGAAAAGCTGCCTTGTGGGTTGCCAGTGCTCGTACGAACCTCGTCACCAGTAGTTGCTTCGACGTCACCAGGGCCCGAACCGTTCAAGTCCATATCTACGTCACCGTCCGCATCCTTGAAATCGTCGTTCTCGTCGTCTGAAGTGAAGTCGAAAAAGTCAGAGAGGCATTCGCTAGTTGGCACTTTGGGTTTTCGGTGATGTATGCGGAAGAGGGCATGGCACGGCATGTACCTATGGAGACATGGGATGTAGAAGTGAAAGAAGATGAAAAGGATAGGTATTTTGTCTTGGTATCTAAAGAAAACAAGAATGGCACAGCGCAGCGCGAATGGGAAAGATGAAGACTCGCCGGAAACCGTTCAGTTGTGATAAGAGTTCAGATTTGGGAGCCGAAAAGAGGCTACTTTTACTCACTTGCGGCCTCGTCGACGTCAGAGGCAGCATCAGAGGCGGCCTTCTCGGCCTCTTCCGCATCCTCCTCGTTGGCGGCATCTTCCTCGACATCTTCCTCCTCGGCAGACTCCTCGGTCACAGCCTTGGGGGGACGGCCACGTCTGCCAGGTCCGCCCTTCTTGGGTGTCGTGCTCTTCTTGGGGGTAGCCTTCTTGGAGCTGGGAGTGGCAGCCTCGCTAACATCGGACTTGCGAGGACGGCCACGACCTTTGCCAGTGGAAGAGGGGGTAGCCTTGGGCGCAGCAGCCTTGGGCGCAGCAGCCTTCTTCTTGGCGGCAACGGGGGTGGCCGCAGCCTTGGGAGGACGTCCGCGGCGAGAGATGGTGCTGGCAGCAGTCTTCTGAGGAGCCTTCTTCACACCACCGCTGCCCTTGGGCCTGCCACGGGGGCGACCAGAAGGCTCAGCCTTGGTCTTCCTCTCGGACGGGTCCTTGGGGGGACGGCCGCGGCCGCGCTTGACGGGCTGCTCCTCAGATTGGGGCTTGGTGGGCGCCATATTGATTGGAGTAAATATGGATGATATTGGCTTTACTCGAAAGTTCTTCTGTTTCCTCTTCAAACGGTCAGTTTTTGGTGGTGCGACGTGAAAGGAGCGTCAACAAAACAAAGTAGGATGGGCGGACTGGGCAGGTGGAGGTCGCGGATGGGGTAATTGAGGTGCAAATGCGAAAAGCAGCACGCGCACTTACCGAAAACAAAAAATCGGGAAAAAATGACCACGACTTGGTTGCAACGAATATTTGGTGTATTCGTCAAGTTCTGATTGAGGAGAAGGTTGGCTGGGTGGTTTTTTTGTTGATTTATTTCGGACGGGGTCGTAGCGGGCTGGCTCAGCCAAAAGCGTGTGCTGTCACTTGACGCGACCTGCCTGGACCCTTCCCCGGTGGGCGCGTCGTTGTCCCGTCCCCTCCTCCCCTCAACAACAACCCCTTTCTGGGCAGGTTGGACCCAGGAACCTTGGTCCCCGTTCTCGGTTCTTTCCGAAGAGGTACACAACCCATGTCCTAATTGCGAGCGTAGGAGCGTTTGCCCTCTCATCATCTTCGACTAATTAGGCGTTTCTCATATGGATACCTGGTTAAATGCAGCGCAGTCATACCAATCTGGAATTTGCGTCACAGGAACCCGCGTTTTAACATGGGTCGAAATCCGTATCAGATCTGAGATATGAACATGATTTGTCTGGCCCTTTCTCATGTTCTTAATAATACAGGACGTTATTCCTTCCTTTCGCCGGCATATCAGTTCGTCTTCGCTCCTCCCGTTTCTGCCATCGAGGCCAGTTCAAGCATGCGCGATTGAGATCGGTCAAGTTGTTTGTTCCTCCGGCATCGTGACCAACTCGGTCGGCCCACGTGTAGTAATTAGCCATTTCATATCTTAATCGTCGTTATATGGTACAAATCTCTGCGTTTTCCCCTCGACTCCGGTGTAGTTGAGCAAGTGTGCCGCTTGTAGCGCTCCACCTTTTCCAAACTCAAAAGCATTTCGGCTCGCAAGATCCCATTTCCCATCGTATCACCAGCTTCCTGTGTCCCACCGAAATGTTGAGCCCAACACTAGACCAATCTTAACAGAATTTTAGCATGAAGGAAGATGCCTGTTGGCGGTTTACACAACCACCAGCTCCCGGTATATAAAGACATAAGGAGAACAGGACCGATCCAACGTCATTAATGGTTTTAAAAAGGTGTGATTAGGCGAAACTGCAAAACCAAAACGTTTGTCGCAGTCCCTGTTTATAGATCACCGCCCTTCTTGGCCTTGGCGCTGGCACCGCTCTTGACGCGGCGGGCAACGGGGCGGTTGAGATGGTGCGAGGGAATCCAGCTCTCGTCAAAGTTCTTCTCGCCGCCAGAGGTGGCACCGGCCGACTCGGAACCAGACAAGGGCTCGGAAACCTCGACCTTCTTGACCTTCTTAGGGGCCTTGGTCTTCTTAACAGCCTGGGGGAAGAGAGCCTCGATCCAGGTCTTGTAGACGAAGTAGAGGGTAGCGCCAAAGACACCGGTCAGGAAGAGGTAGAGGAAGATGCTACAGAGGGAGTATGTCAATACAAATGTTCGTCAATTTAGCGGTTGAGGGCGCAAAAACACTCACATCTGGGGGTCGAAGATGCTGGTGGGGGCCTCAACAATGCTGGCGGGGCCGTTGTGCAGCTGAATCTCAAAAACCTCGCCGGCAGGGTTGGTGATGAAGGCAACAAGCTCGACCTCGACATCCTGGGGCATCATATCCAAGACAAAGTTGTAAGGGAGAGTCTGCTTCTCGCCAGCCGGAATCTCGGTCTGGAACCGAGTGGCAGTCAGGTTGCGCACAATGTGGGTGTAGAGGGGCGCGTCCTCGGGCAGAGGCTGAGTGGTCTTGAGAGCACCGCCAACGAAAGCGACCTGGATGGGGCCATCCTCCTGGTTGGTGATGTCGATAAGAGCCCTGGTGACCTTGCCGTTCACGAGCTTGACGCCGAAGATGTCGGCATCGGGGAAGGTGGTCTCGATATCGGCCTTCAGCTCGGGCTGCGAGACGGGAACCGCGGTCGCATCATCGCCGAATGTCTGTAGGAAGCTCTGGTGGTTAGCAGGTGGAATGACAGAGAAGCGGGGAGAAGCTGTGATGCGGTCATAACTAGCTGAGTAGCTAGCTAGAGGTAGCTGTTCGCGACGAGAACACAACTGGGAAGGGAACTGAGCTCACCTCTTCTTGCGCAAAGACAGAGACGGCGCGGAGAGCGAGCAGGGCGATAGAGGACCACTTGAAGTTGACCATGATGAATGACGTGGGGGGGAAAACCGGGAAGCAAGGAGAATAGGAAATGGGTTGACGAAGCAAAGAAAGAAAGGAGGAAGCAGGAAAGTAGTGAGAAGTTCAAGGCCAAATATCTAGAAGCGTGAGGTGTCCCAAAGGCGGCGAACACTGGACCCAACCAGGGAGCGACCTGAGCTCCAGCGGACTGGGGACCCGACGGGCGGCGGGACGAAAGTGCGGGTCCTCTTGGCTGCCAAGGCGCGACTCTGACGAACGGGAAAAAAGTGTTGGCACCAGTCTGCAATGTGGCCTCGACCTTCCCGTCTTTTGCAACCCCTGCGTCACGCCTCGCTAGCTTCTACTAGCTGCCAAAATATGCATATATCGAGCTTACTGTCAACGAGAAGCCTCAATTGACGCATATCGGAGCTTCCAGAGCTTCCACTGTTCCACAGCTTCCCCGGAGACAGGGCCCAGGGGCAGATCGAAAAGAAACCCTGAGAAAGTGTTCGTCAAAGGACAAGGGCCAACTCACAGCTTTCTTCAATACTAGCAGCACGATCAAGTGACTAAAACTGTTATGACGCTGCTCAACCTCGCGCCTCCTCGCTTCAAGGTATATTTTGACGCATTGACAAAAGCCCACCACATTTGAAAATGCTACAGCGAGTTCAACACCGACCTCACTGCCGCCAGATCTTCTTCAACATCAACCTTCCAACTTCCCACAGCAATCCGCACCGCATTTTCGCCGTTCCATTTTGTCGGACTCACATACATCCTCCTTGTCTCATTGATCTTTTCCACCAAGACCTCATTAAGGTCGGGATTCTTTGCCTTGAACAAGACGATGATGTGCGTGCATTCGATATCAGCTGTTGCCTCATCCGGAAGCAAATCGTACTTGTCCGAATCCCGGATAAAGGCGGCGATTTTTCGCGCTAGGTCGACCATCCTCGCCAGCATTTCGCCCATGTTTTCGCGGCCTAAGTGCAAGAGCAAAGCATATACAGGAAGGGCGCGGAACCGTCGTGAGTTTTCAAGGCCTACGTGTAAGGGGCTTTGAATTTCGGTGTTGGTACCAGATCTTGACGTTGAGGCTACTGGCGCTAGGTATGCCGCGTTGGGGTTCTGGAAAACTTGCGTCATAACTTCTGGTTTACTGCAGAAGAAGATGCCGTTGTCGTATGGCTAAAGAAGGTTAGATGTCAGATATGGTTGGGGGCAAAAGATCCTCGGGAGGTTGAGGACTTGAGAGAACGTGATCGATGGAGACTTACCACGTTCAGCAACTTGTGACCATCAGCAGCTATACTGTCCGCCAACTCCAAGCCGGCCGTCCTCTCACGAAGTTTGGCGAACCTGTCGACCTTTGGAAGGGCGCGAGCAAATATGCCGAATGCTTTTTCATCACCACCGCCGTCAGCATCACTCTCTCGCCATACCGCGTCCTCGTAGGGCAGCCTTCAACTGATGGGGTGCATAGCGGTAACTCACCTCCATCAACATGGATCCACGCCTTGTATCGATCGGCCAACTTCCTCAGCTCCTTCATAGTTTCGCCAGTCGTCCCAAACTGCCCGGTATTCACCTCTCCCGCGCTCACCACGATAATGCTCGCCACCCCTTCGCGCTTCAGTTCCCGCTCCACGGCCTTTAGGTCCAATACCCAGGAGGTATCTGGGACCCCGAAATCCTTAACCGCCGCCCTCCCCAACCCAACGATACTGGCCGCCTTGTAAAACGATGAATGGCCCTTGCTCGTCAAAATCTGTACTTCCTTCACGCCCGCCGCCATGCACGCACCCAAGAGCCCCAGCTCGCCTACTCCTCCGGTCTTTGCGTAGTCCGGAACCCTTGCCGAGATAACAGCCTCCCGCCCGCATGCAAGGCCCATGATATTGCTTGCCGTTGCGCCAGTAGTGAAAGTCTTGCCCTGGAACCCATCCAAAACCAAGAGCGAGCGAAGCATCGAAAGAGCATGGTGTTCCACAACGGTGCTTATGGAATGCGTCGAAGGCATATGAACCTGAACATTCTGATCGAGTGCCGTGACCACATTATCAGCAGCCTGCGCCACGGGGTGGACGCCCCCGGTCACGAATCCGTAATAGCGTGATGAAAGCGCCTGCGAGTTGAGGGCGGGCACGATATCGGCCAAGATGTGCGAGATCGTCGAGTAGAACTCCTTTCCGTGGCCGGCGAGGCCCGTAATTTGCGGTGGCTCGCCGCCAAGGTGGATGGACGAATCGTGGCAGTAGTTCTCTACCCACGCTTCGGCGTGGGCCAGGTCCTTTGGGCGAGGCGTGACGCATAGGTTGGGGTCGAAGGTCTGGGTGAGGATCTGGAGGACTACGTAGTTGACCACCAGCTTTTTCACATCGTTCAGCCTCTCGGTTCCCTGATTGGCGGGACAGAACTCGTCGAGGAGTTCGGAAATCCTGCTTTCCAGTGGCTTGAAGATTCTGTCCACGTAGGCGGGCTGCATATGATCCGGTAGAGGCGTGTTTGCCATGGCGATGTGGTTTTCCTTGGTGGTGGGCTCGTTCCGTGTTTGATGATTGGTTTTGGGTCAAGTTCAGCACAGGTATATCGGCCGCATGGCGTGCATGGCAATGCCTCCTACTTATATGATGGCTGCATGGTGGTGACGAAATTTTGAAGGCTACACTCGTCCATGTGTTGAAACGCCGCCTGACTCGATGCTCCGCTTACCTAAGGTACTTTTCTTATTTTCGCCCCGTGAATAAGTGGTCAGATCAGTGGCCCCCTCCTTCTTCAGCATACATCTTTTGGCGGTCGTGGATACAAATGAGAGGATTGAGACTTGTCCGATCGATCTGACGGTGTCAACAAAAGTGAGTGTCTAGGTAGAGGTAAACCAAACTATTTGTATCTCCCCGGACACTTCCTGAAGACGGAAGGTTCCCGCTTTCTCGGGTCACTGGTGCTATGGAGTGCCGCCGTAGTGGGTCGGGTAGGGTGCTCTTTAACCACCTTTTTGTTCCGCTATATCCAGGCGATGATTGGAGACATGTTTCCTCTCCAGTAGGGCGGTCATGTAGAAGTAGGACCTTTTCTTTACCCATAATAAGACTCCATTACTATCACAGGGAAACCCGAGGTTGGACCGGGTTCGTGGAAAATTGTAATCGGGGTCCAGTTGTAGCCACCATTGCCCACCAGAGTGGTCAAACATCGACGGGCCGGGTCGTCGGGGGAGGGGCCGGAGAAAATGCAGCGGTGATGGGGAGTTAGATAGGAAGGAAGGCATCTGACCTTTCCGCTTCCAGGTAATGCACCGGTGTGTATGTTGACTGATTTTCGGTGCTTTCAAGATGACTGATTCCTCATGGTCAGCGTTGTTGAAATTGACACATCCATTAGTTCTTGGCTTGGCGTTTTGATCATGATCTCTTATGCTCTCGAGGTGGCTCTGACAATATCCGTTTGAGCCGACATATTGGTAAATCGGTATAGATCGGGACATAGAACATGCGTTAAGGGTCAAAAACAAAGTCGGAGATGATGATCATCCACAGGAGGGGAAGTGGAAGATGGGGAGACGAGCGGGAAGATGTGCATTTGCGATAAGGCGCCCCTCACCCCGGCCACTTTCCGCATTCAATTTCAGGACATGCAGCTGGCCACTGCAGTCAGAATTATCCAAACTCTCTTCACCTTTCACAAGCGGAGGGAAGACACTCCTGTCCGACCCAACACCTGCCATCGTCGATGGGTCACTATTCGAAATTAATGCTCAGCGAAGCGCGAAAAGCAACCCACCCTCTTAACCGTTCAGACCACGTTGTCCACGACTTGCAGGCGATGTAGCAGCCATCCCACCTACAGATGTGCATCGTAGGCCTGCCAATACCACTGCAGATGTGTTTCATTTACATATGCTTCTGCCGTACAGCCGGCATATGCTGCCCATGGATATGAGCTGGCGAAGATGGGAGGCCCTTCTTTGGACTGCCCCATCACTGACATGCGCCATCCTAGACACTTTCGTCTCGGACCGATCTGATATGGCTCTGTCCTTCCCTGATCAATCTGGATAGAGTTGAAAACACCAGGCCAGACAACATAGGTATCAATCTTCACCCTCGGACCCTCACCTCTCCTTTCCGGTTTTCACGATTCTAGGGGCCTAGAGCCCTGAACAGACTGACCCTGGAAGAGTCGGTGGGGAATCTGGAGATGCGGTGGTTCCGGCCGCTTCATCCCGCGGATTCATGCCTCATTGGGCTTCGTGGCCGAGTGGTACCAGTGGCACTGAATACGTCGAATGGTACCCTCCATGCGCCCCCCAGTGCCTCCCGTGCCTTTGTACGCACCAGACTGCTGGGTCCGTTCCACTATCCCGTCCAGATGTGTGCCAGATGCCCACCCCCGGACAGTTGACTGGCTTCCATCCACACCATCGGAAGCGGTGGACCTCGATGCTTCCTGGTCCTTGGTCCCGTCGATAGGGTTGACCCGGATTGCTGGGACGCCCTCGAAGCTTCCAAACTTACCTACTCGTAACCTTTTGCTCCCCCTCCTACCTTCGACTACCGTGTCCCACCCAATCGGTACCGCCCAAAGTCGTCCTTTCGACTGGGGTGGGATATATTACACTTGTCATTTCTTCTCCTGTCCTGGGATCTCAATTTGTCTCTCCTTCTCTTCTTCTTCTGCTCTTTCGATTCTCTTCTGAAACCTTGTTGTGTCGAACGCCTATCCATTGTTATCCACCCCGTGGCTACTTACAACCATGACATTCCTTCCGAGCAACGGTGGTCTTCACGGTTTTCAGTTCACCTTCGAGACTTACCTAGATTCCTCCTCACAAAAAATCGAGGCTGACGTTAGTACCCTGATGAACCAGATCTCATGGGATTCAACGTAATGAACTGACATTCTTCACATGCAGTCGGACCACTCTAGCCCTAGCCGTGACATTTAGTAAATCACACTCCCCCGCATTACCCATGATGGAGAACCTTGTCTCTCAGGGTGATCAGCAAACTTTCACATGTTATCGTCTCTAACACATCACAACTAAAGTGACTCCGTTTCCCTTTCAGAGAGCATCTCCAAGTACGAGGAAGAATTTGGGAGAACATATCATTCCTATCGCGCAGGGTGTAAGTAACTCGTCCCACGGTTCCTGCTTCGTTGGCTGCTGACCTCCAAAACACCTCTATAGCTTACCACTACCCCAATGACCCTACCGAGACTGAGCGTCTAGATGACCAATATGAAATCGCCAAGGAGTTGATGGAGGGTCGCAACTACTTTGCCCCCTTCTCCCGCAAAAACCCTCCAAGAAAGGTGTTGGACATCGGTACGGGTACGGGCACATGGGCCATCGACATGGGCGATGAGTTCCCCGAGGCTGAGATTATCGGGACCGACCTCTCACCTGTCCAACCCGATCTCGTTCCGCCAAACGTCCGATTTTTCGTGGAAGATTCGTACATTTCCCGTCGCTTTAAAGTCCAATTCCTCATTTCGAACCTTGACACTAACCGGCCCTAACCAGATCCGACGAATGGATTTATCCCACCAACTACTTCGACTACATCCACACCCGATACACCCTCGGTTGCTGGTCAGACATGAAGTCCCAGATCATCCAACGGGCATTTGACCACCTAAAACCGGGCGGGTGGCTCGAGTGCCAGGAGCTCAATGTGCTCCCGGTATGCGATGATGGTAGCATGACGGACGACTACAAGCTGCTGCAGTGGGCTCGTGACATGGACGCTGCCTCCAGGGCTGCGGACCGACAGCTGGTCATCGGTGATGATATCAAGCAGTGGCTGGGGGATGTTGGGTTCGTGGATGTGCAGCAGATGGTGTTGAAACTGCCCGTGGGTGGATGGGCTAGGGAACCACGGCTAAAGCATCTTGGAATGCTATGGCAGAGGAACCTGTCAGGCGGACTGGGTGGATTGAGTGTTGGGTTGTTGCATCGGTTTGGTGGAAAGACGATAGAACAGGTTGAGGTGAGTTTCCCGTCTCGTCTATTTAGTGTGATGATGTTTGTCACTGACATATGTGTTTCATGAAACAACAGGTCGATCTGGTAGGCGTACGCAACTCCATGTTCGACAGGAATGTCCATGCATACATGAAGATTTATATTGTCTGGGGCCGAAAACCAGATGTCATCTCATGAGGCAGGCAAGTCAAAAGGCAAAAAAGAAAAAGCACGAATGTTTCCAACAACGAATTGTTCACTCCGTCATTCACTCCATTTCTGTGGTTTCAACACAAGGGACTCATCATACGAAGCCATGTCTCCCACCTTGTCCATCAAAAGTCTGTCTGCCATCCACCCACCCAACCAACACCCTCACCATCTTGTTGCGCACCGAACTTGTCCCAACTTACCTCACTCCTCCTCCTTAACCAACCACTCCAACTGCCTAATCTTCTCCTCATCCCCCTCCATCAACATCTCCAACCCCTTCCGATCCAAAAAGTCATGATCAAACACCTCCCACCCCGGCACCGTCGTTTCCGAAATGAAAATCATTTCATCGTCATGATCCTCACCATCCTCAACAGGCAAAACAAAAGTCCCCTTATACTTCCCCCCCTCCACAATCCACTGCACCTTTTCTCCCTTCTCCACATTCTTGCCCACCACAAAACTCTCCACCCTACAAGGCGTCTCATCCGCGTGCAAGATCACGTACCTCCCCCTCCCGCGATGCAGCGTATGAATAATCCTCCCCCGATTACGGTGTAGATACCCCTTTGGCGAACCCCCACCCCCACCCCCACCCCCACCCCCAGGCCCCTCCTTGCCACCCTTCGTGCCACCGTTGGTGCCGGTAAGCAAATAATAAATAGTCGTCGAAGCATTCCTCAGCTTCGGGTCAAACCCCGGGCGATAGTAGGAGTTTGGGTCGAACTCATAGTTTGGGTCCGCCGCCGGGGTAGTATTGGAGAAAGTGGTGGCAGGATAGAGAGGAAAGGGAGAGGGGATCTCGAGGGTGTTGCGATCGGTTTCGGCCATGTAGCCGCCCTCGACGAAGGCGGTGAGGGAGAGGCTGGTGATGATGGATTGGATTGAGGCTGGCTCGAGGGAGGCGTTGGGGAGGGTTTGGGGGGCGGAGATGACGGAGGGGGGAGGTGGGGGGAAGAGGAGGTTTTCCTTGGTGGTGGTGGTGGTGGAAGAGGAGGCGGCCATGTGAGGGTGAGGGTGCCGAGTGTTTCTGATCGATGAGCTTGCTGTGGTAAGGTTCTCGTCGGTGAGAAGTTTGCTGTTGTTATTCGGAGCTTAGGTGGTATGGAAGTTATCTTCTTTTTATGTTGTGGAGGTGTTTTTGGTCGAATATTCCCTCCTGTCCGGATGAGCTGTGTTTCCCTGCGTTGGATAGGAGCGGGAATGTTGGCGTTGAAGTAAGTAAGCTGAGGTCAGAGGAATCAGTGTGACTGGGCATGCAGTGTCATCATTGTCGGATGCAATATGGTAGTAGCAATCCGCACTTTCTGCGATCGGCTGTTGACATGTTGGGTGTAAGTGTTATCGCCGGAGAGTGGAGCCGATTTGTCGGGTGATGGGCGGGCGAGGCGGGCCTGGCGGTCGTGGTGATGTAAATACATACGGAAGTTCACATAACCCTAACCCCATCGGCACGTTCGACATGGCGACGATGCCCGAGATTTCAAAATCTTGTGGACCGGTGTTTCTTCTGGGACCGTGTTCCAATCGGTTGAGACAACGGAAAACAACAGCAAGGGATCCGGTGCCGACAACAATGAACTTTAGGGCCAAGACGGGTAGCTGGGATATACTGGCGTCGGTTGGGTTCTGGAAAAAGGGGTTATCACAGCTGGCAAGGGGCTGGCTGCCCTTGGCTGGGGACATTGTTCTTTTTCTTCCAGACAGAACACGGATAGGGAAATGGAACCCCTCTTCTTGCTTGGCATCCTTGGCGGGCGGTGCTAAACTGAAAAAGGCTGGAGGATCAGCGATGATTATTTTGCTTTATAGGGGTGCCCAGCAGAGGACGTGGGCATCAACTTGGGCACCGGCCCGGCGCCTAGCACAGACGGGGCTCTTGTCGTTTCCACATCCAAGACTGGATCCCAATTGGCGTCACAACGACGGGAACCCCTGTCAACCCTGTCCACCAGCCTGGACGCTCGCTGGTTTTAGCGGCTCGCTCCCGAGTCCCAACCTTCCGGTCCATCCCAAGCAATCCTACAGCACTTTCACGCTTCACCTCATCTTCACTCTGCGATCCAAACCACACTTTCCCGTCCGACCCGACGACCCAAACTATTCCTAACTCCCATCGCCAACCCGACTCAACAATCCCATTCTTCCGGAACAGGACAGTTTCTCAACACATTCCGCGCAAACACCGGGCAGCCCGAACCAACTGTCCCGCCCGGTCTCGTGTCCTCGCGCGACACAATGTCGGGAACAATGAGCAAGCGCCAACAGGCGCGCAACGAAAAGGTTCTCCACGAACTCGCCCAAGCTCCCGGCAACAATGTTTGTGCCGACTGTTCGGCACGGAATCCATGTATGTTCCCTCCGCCCTTCGCTTCAGACGACCGACTAACCCGTCTTCTTCCACAGCCTGGGCATCATGGAGCGTACGTCTACATATTCCCCCCTGGCCACATGATCTTTCCGCGCGCGCACGACCTTGCTAATAGTAATCGGCTCTTCAGTTGGGAATCTTCCTGTGCATGCGGTGCGCCACTATCCACCGCAAGTTGGGCACCCACATCTCCAAGGTCAAGTCATTGAGCATGGATAGTTGGTCCAACGAGCAAGTCGAGGTATGCACATATGCCATGCCCAATGTTATCCTCTGCAGGGACGCTCACACTTTTCTCGCGCTTCAGAACATGAAAAAGGTGGGCAACATTGCCTCCAACAAGAGCTACAACCCCGACAACAAAAAGCCGCCTATACCGGGCGACGCCGACGACGTAGACCCCGCGATGGAGAGGTTCATTCGTCAAAAATATATGCAGCGATCCCTGGCCGGCGCCAAGAAGCACAACACCGGCAGCACCTCGTCTGACGAAACACCCCCGCCGCTTCCCCCAAAAACCGGCAGTCGCTTTGGCTTGAGGTCGGCATCATCCATATTCCCACTTGGCTCGAAAAAGAAACACGACACGGGCAGGTCGGCCTCTCCTGGGCCACGGAGTCCGGCATCCCCTCGAACCAATGGAGGCTTTGGGGCAACGGTTCGATTTGAGAGCAACGACGCCGACGAAACCGAGATCAAGCTACAAAAGCTGCGAGATATGGGCTTTAGGGATGAACAAAGGAACGCCATGGTTCTTAAGGGGGTTGGCGGAAATCTGGAAAAGACAATCGAGGCGTTGGTCAGGCTGGGAGAGGGAAGCGAGGCGCGAACACCGCTCAACCTGAACAAGAAGCAGACACCCACGGCATCCAGCCAGAGTTTGGCGCCATCAACCTCCAGCCAGGACGCAGCCCGTGGACGACCTATCAGCCCAGCCAGCACGAACCCGTTCGATATGCTCGACCAAGCACCACTGCCCCCTCAGCCGTTGTCCTCTCAATCGACAGGCACTCTACAAAACAGGAACCCTTACAATATGACTACCACGAATCCCTTTGGCGTACCCCAGCAATCAGCCCCTCAGCAGCAGCAACCGCAACAGCAACAGCAACAGGCCATGTCTGCGTTCGATCAAGCTTTCCAGAACCTCTCGCTTGCTCCTTCCCAGCCGCTCTTCCCCCACCATACAGGTGGAATGATTGCTCCTCAACAGCAGCAGAATCTTCCGGCAGGATACCAGCAACCCCAGATGACAGGGCCGGCTCAGCAGAACTATCCCTCGATTGCTCTGGCCAGCAGCCAGGCTTTTCCCCTGACGTCCCAAGCTACCGGTTATAACCCATTCTTCAACAATCAACAACAGCAACAGCAACAGCAGCCTCAGACCCAATTCCAACCCCAGCAACCAATGACCATTAACACGACAGGTTACGCTGGTAGCTACGCAAATAACCCTTTTGCTAAGTCACCAACAAGGTTGCAGTCACCCACCCTCACCCAAATACCCGAACAGTCGCAACAAAACTTCTACGCTGGCGGACAAGCTCAGGCTCCCGCGGCCATGCCTCTGGGAATGCAACAGACAGGAAACAATCCCTTCTTCAACCAAGCCATGGGTGGAATGCCCCAGCAGCAGCAGCAGCAGCAGCAGCAACAGGCACCCCAACAATACGGACTTGCAGCACAAATGACGGGACAGGTACCACAGTATCAGACACAAGGTCAGGCTCAGGGACAAATGCAGATGCAAAATCCCCAAGGATCTCAGATGCCCCAGATGCCCCAGATGCCTCAGATGCAGCAAGGCGGATATGCGCCACAGCAACAATATCAACCACAGCAGCAACAACAGCAGTATCAACCCCAACAGCAATATCAGCAACAGTTCCAACCTCAGCGACCCGACAAGGCGTCCATCTTGGCTTTGTATAACTACCCACAGCTTGCCCCACAACCACCCCAGGCGCAACAGCAAAACCCGGCTCAGGCCCAAGGCCAGCAGCCTCCGGCACAAGCTGGACAAGCCAACGGAGCATATGCTCAACAGGGGCAGCCTCAACAGCAACAGCAACAGCAACAGCAACAAATGCAGCAGCCCCAAAACCAAGGGGCGGGAAGCCAAATGGCGGGAAGCAAGAACCCATTCATGAGCGCAGGCGGACCGGCTCAGGGACAGCAGCAAAATGTGGCGGCACCAAAGGCATACAACGCAAGCAGGGAAAGTGTGATGGCTTTGGGGATGGACTGGACAAACGGGAGGCACAGTCCAGATGCCTTTGCTAGTTTGAGCGCAAGGCATTGAGTAAAAGTGGATTTTCTACTCGAGTAAAGGGGAAGGCTGTTTCAGCTCATTTAAGTTGCTGTTTGGTGGAGGTGTAATTCGCGTTTCTTGTGTGGTAATTGATTTTAGTACATCTTGTTGTTTTGGGGATGAGAACAGCATCTATGATTCATTATCCTTGTACATATTAGCTTTTGCCCGTTCATATGTCGGTTTATGCCCCATACTGCTAGGGTCATCGATTAACATTGTGGTGTCATTGTCTACCTATATTTCATATTTCGTTGTGTTTGAATGTGGTTCAGTCTTCAAGAGTGCTAGATGGTGGTCAAGGGGACTCGGAACAGGTGCAGGATTTTGGGCAAGTATCATTTGGTGGCTACATAATATAGTATTGGCTTGCTGCGACCTCCCACTTACTAGCGCTCTGTCCTTAACCGATTCATATAATTTACTGTACAAGCGGGACGTGCACCTGCCTGCCCACATCCACCGATTCGCTCCAGCTTGTAACGTTTGGAAGGTGCATTCTGGTAGTATTTAGGCCTGTCCTAACACTCCACCTCCATTCCTCTTCTCTCGACGAAGTCGCCAATCAAGCTTTTCCCCTTGGTTCACTTCGTCTCAAGCTCATTGCCAGATATCCAGGCCACATCTACATACAATGATGCCTAGTCTTTCACCCGTTGTCGGCGTTGGAGTATCGGTTACCACAGCGCAGCTCAGCGCAGCCGCAAAGGATTATCCGGGGATATACTACGTTGAGCATCCTCGAGGCATCCTCCAAAAGCTTCCCAGTAAGCTGTGCAGACAGGCTATGCATCCTTCACCAAGCATCGCCATTGGCTTGCTGAGCCCGCCGTTCACCACCATCCCGCGAGCCCGCCCATCAATGGCTGGTAGAGTTGCAGTGGCCCTATGGTATCACCAGGGAAAGCCATTGCTACCTGTTCTACCGACAGCGCCGTTGCTTTTTCTGACAGGTAACAGCCCAAAGTTGGCTGGCCACCATGGGTAAGTCCAGGAAACGGCCGGTGGAAACCGAGAAGAAAGCAGCAAAGGGGAGTGAAGAGAGACGAGGAGCGCCATACTACTGAATCAGGCATGACAGGAAAGAAGAGGTGATCGCGATCCTCTCTTTGTAACGCGTTGAACTTTACTGCATCATCACTACACAATACTGCTTTCATCCTTGCTTTCCTCATGCTTGTCTCTCCCTTTTCATGTTTTGGTTACCATGCTGTTAAGTCGGTCCCCGGTTGCAAAGTTGCACGGGTTGGGTTGTCATTGTCTCACTCACACCCGGATAGTGATGTGGCGGCTTCATCTGTTGTTCATGGTCGTTCCAGAAACAACCTGTTCCTCAAGCGCGAAACCTCCTGCCCAGCTATGGCCACTTGCATGCGATATATTTTGTCTCATCCATCGCGTCGGCAACCGACAAAGAACATAATCATATTTGTTGCCAACCATGAAACGAGGGGCATGCCTTTCCAGCTTAGTCTTTTTTTCACAAGTTGGTTCCGGGGGCTGAGGGCTGAAGACCGAGAAGTGAGGCACGGGCACGTCGAAGGCACCTTCACAGAAAATGACGGGATTCAGAAACAGCGCGGCTTATCCCCGCTCCATGTGTCACTCAAACCGCAGGTATACATGGACCAATCGGCCTATGGACGGGGCTGGATACCAGCTTTCTGTCGTGTTCCCCTCCGCGCATGAGGGTGATTTGCCTGGAAACCAAGTGGTAGATATATAGCCTGTCCTGCCTGACAAGGCTGCTGCCTGTTTAACGCTTGCTTCTTTCCTTCCTTCTTTTTCTTTCACAAGAACTACTCGGGCCGATCAGAGCTCGTTAAGAAAGAGTGAGATCTCAACTTCCAGACCTACCCTTCGCAGCTTCACACTCAGCCAGAGCCCGATAGCCCAACACGCACACCATGTCACGGTCTCCGTCACCAACACCAGGTGGGAGGTCTGTTCTGGCAGAGATGACGGTTTATCAACCTCGCGGAGGTCCTTGGGGCCAACACCACAAGTACAGGACACCGCAAAGTAAGGTCGATGAGTTTTGGACAAAGTTTACCGCGAGAGTCCCGGGAAAGGGTAAGTACACCTACCATTTCGACCTGACATTTTTCAGCTCGGCATTTGGAGAGCCTGAGGGCTTACCAATCCTGCAGCCACCACGGTTCTCCCCAAGAACGAGTACGCTGAGAGGCTTACCAAGCGCAACTCAGCCAAGGAGGTGGGAGGTGGTACAAATGCGCAAGCATCTTTCGAAGAGGCCGCGGCTATCTGCAGGGCCAAGGTGGAAAAGATCGTTCAAGAATGCCGTCGTGTCAACCAGAAGTACAGAGACCCGCATTTCGACCTGGAGTACGACCTGAAGACGGGTAGGCGCGATTGCCTCGAATCTCTCAGTAATGAGAACATCATCGATTTCTCCAGTAGCGACTCGGACTCTGACTACAACCACCTACCACGCCCCCGGTCGCGATCCCGTCGTCGCAGGAGAGATTATGGTGATCGTGACCAGGGCACTACTCAAGCGGAAGGCCAGACCAAGACCAAAACCAAAGCCGACAAGGGAGATGGAGTCTCGCAGTTGTCCCCGCAAGGACGGATGCCCGGGTCCAAGTTTCGGCCGGCATCGGTCAAGCGAGTGGGTGAGATCTTTGACGACCCAAAGTTCTACATTGACGGTCCCACCGCAAATGATGTGCGGCAGGGCCGGGACGGTGATTGTTGGCTTATGGCAGCATTGTGCACGATGAGCAACAAGCCTGGACTCATCGAACGGATTTGTGTGGCTCATGACCAGGACATTGGTGTCTATGGCTTTGTCTTTCACCGGGATGGGGAATGGTTCAGCGAGATCATCGATGATAAGGTAACGCAACCCGTCAATTTTGCATGATCCTACCAGTGCGGCTGGTGAACATTGTACTAATCAAACACGGCTGTAACAGCTCTATCTCACCAGGCCCGACTATGATGAGGCCATGGATCGTTTTCACATGGAACGCGTGTTATGGGATGATAGAGATCGCCCAGACTCTGAAGAGATCTACAGGAAAACTTACCAATCCAATAGCGGCGCACTTTACTTTGCGCAGTGCGAGAATCCGAACGAAACCTGGCTGCCTTTGCTCGAGAAGGCCTATGCCAAAGCCCATGGAGACTATGCAGCTATTGAGGGTGGGTTCACTGGCGAGGGTATCGAGGATCTCACGGGCGGCGTGACCTCTGGCTTGTATACTGCGGATATACTTGACAAGGAACATTTCTGGAAAGAGGAGCTCATGAAGGTTAATGAGCAATTCCTCTTTGGTTGCTCGACTGGGGTCTGGTGAGTTGTCCGACTTCCTCCTTATATGCAAGATACTGACAACGGTGAGCAGGGGCCGTGGCTATGGTGACAGAAAGGGTATTATGGAACAGCATGCCTATTCTGTCATGAAAGCGGTGGACATTGACGGGGAGCGGCTTCTCTTGCTGAAGAACCCTTGGGGCAAAGGGGAATGGACTGGGCCCTGGAGTAAGTCTTGTCCAGAAGTGTTACGTTGGGAAAGTGGCTAACAAAACTATAAAGGTGACGGCTCAAAGGAATGGACACCAGACTGGCTCCAGAAATTAGGCCATCGGTTCGGGGATGATGGCGCGTTCTGGATCTCATACAGGGACTTCTTGCGTAAGTTCCAGGCCTTTGATCGAACGCGCCTCTTCGGACCCGACTGGAAAGTTACCTCCATCTGGACAACACTTTCCGTACCATGGACCCTAGAGTATCATGACACTAAGTTTGCCTTTACGCTGGCAAAACCCGGTCCGGTGGTCATTGTCCTCTCCCAGCTAGATGCCCGCTACTTCCGTGGGCTAGAGGGCCAGTACAGATTCGAGCTGAACTTCCGCGTACATCGGGCTGGAGAGGACGATTATCTGGTACGAACGCAACACTCCTCCCGCATGAACCGCTCCATCAACGTCGAACTAGATCTTGACGCTGGCGAATACCTGGTCCTCGTCAAGATTGACGCCACTCGCAACGAGTGGGTTCTGCCTACTGAGGACGTGGTGCGGAACAATGCTCGCCACCATCGCGAGAAACTGCTTCGTATCGGACTCTCCTATGATTTGGCACATAGCAAGTCCAAGATCAAGGAGAGCTCCGAGGAGAAAGCAGCGCGTGAGGCACATGAACAGCGGAAGAAAGACAAGCAACGTGAAAGTCTGCGGAAGGCTATCATGGAGGAAAAGGAGATGAACTTTTACAATCGCATGAAAAGCTACCAGAGGCAGAAGCGGCGAGTGGACAAGAACAAGGAGAGGATGAAGAGGAAGGCAGAGAAAAGGAAGGCGAAGATGGAAAAGAAGAAGGCAAAACGGGAGGGAGCAGAGAGGAAACAGGCTGAAGAGACTTCTGAGGATCCTATTGATGGGCAGAAAGCGGGGAGCAAAGGCCGGAATTTCAGCCTTGACGCGGCCTTGCACCCTGCTGGTGAGCATATGGCACCCCCGGTAGTAGATACTGCGCCGTCTACGGACGCCGGACAACCAACTCCGTCTGTTAGCAGCACCGGTGCTACCGAGGTTGATGCAGCAGACCGTCTGCCCGAGCCTGTCCTGTCCGGTGCTGTTGGGAAGGACAACAAGGCTCCTGAGGTCCCTTCAACGGGTGTACTAACTCCTCCATCAGCCTCAACACAACAACAGGATGGTGAATCTTCTGCTAGAGTTGTCAAACCCTCCTCGGAGCAGCCAAAGGAAGCAAGTACACAGAATCCATTCGACGTACAACCAGGGCCCTCAGCAGAGACCAACAAGTCACCGGAAGATACTCTTCCAGAAGCGCAGTCACGTCCTCCAACGCAAGGCGAAGGTGGAAGAGGTGCTAATCACACCAAAGAAATTGAGAACAAGCTTCGGGCAGCTGTCAACCTCTTCTCAAGCCTAAAGCAGGAGCTGGAGCTAATGCTGGAAGACAATGTCAACAATGGTACAGATCAAGGGCAAGAACAAAAGCCAAAGGATGTTGACAACCAGAGGCAGCCTCCACCTCCTCCTCCTCCTCCTCAACTTCGTGCCCCATCCGAACAACGCACTCTCCAACCACCGATGCCTCCTCCCCCTCGTCCCTTCTCGCCTCCCCACCCTCAAGACCACCGCCAGCAGAGACCTCTCTCCCAACTGCGAGGAAGATCACCAATGCAACCGCCCATAGACATCGGTCCTTCACCCCGTCGCTCCCGGCATCGATACGGTGGACCGCTGCCGCAACGTCGCGAAGTCTTCATTGATGATCCCCACCATCAAAGTCGCAACAACGGGCCCCGTTTCTACGACGACAGCTTCTCCGAGTCATCACCCTCCTCCTCGGACACAGACGACACATACAGCATCTCCAGCATCTCTGATATTTCTGACCGGGAACTCGACATGCACATCCGCGAGGACGCCCGTCGCAACGGGAGGCTTCTTGATCAACAAGGATCCCGTCAACAGGCCATATTACCACCGATCCAGCCACAGCCTGGCCCACCGCAACCGCAGCCCCCGATGCCGGGTCCGCCGATTGGAGGCAGAGGTCGGGATCCCCGTGGTCGACATGGAGGAGGCGGTAGAGATGGGCCTAGGAATGGGCCGGTCGATCTCAATGCGGAGTTTGAGAAGAATCCGTGGAATGCGGTGGCGGTGGTGGGGCTGAGGGTTTATTATCGTGTTGATGATGCTGGTACAGGCCAAGATGCCACTGCTGCTGCTACCGTTACCGCTACTACTGCTGAAGACAAAGATGCAGCAGCAGGTGGGAAAGAAGAGGAAACCAAGAAGGAGATGGTCAAGTTGAAGGTTATCAAACCAAATCCGTGGGAGATTGTTAGTGATGATGAGAAGGATGCCAAGAAAAAGAAGGAGAAGGAGAAGGATGGGGAGAAGAGGGAGAGTAAGTGGACTAGGGGGTTCAAGAAGAGTAAGAAGAAGGGCAAGGAAGGGGGGGAGGAGGAGGAGGAGGAGGGCAAGAAGAAGAAGGACAAGAAGGATGGGGATACTACTGAAGCGGGAAGGAAAGCAAATGATGAGGGTGATAAGGCGGGTTTGAAGAAGGAAGAGGTGGAAAAGGTGTTGGATGTTGATGATAGCGCGAAGGACGCTACTCTTGAGGGTGAGGAGAGGGAGAAGACTGTTGCTGAGGGACAGGTGTGATGAGTTTGTACGGGTGGATGAGTTCTCTGTCTTGACTTGGTTATGACTGCTGATTGCGTTCCTTTTATATTGTAATTTTGTTGGAGAAATGCTTTTCTTTGCTTGAAGATGTCCGGTTTATATATAACATTAGCGTGCTGCTGTTGTTTTAAGGTTAACTAAGACTTTTACGGATACATACAATGACTGGAAGTCTTGGAACAACTCTTGCCAAAGGTCGACGTGCTAATCTTGAAAAGAATGAGTTTAAGTTGGTATTTGTCATATGTACCTCCCAACTCAGAACATTTATTGCCTCACCATTTCAAGAGAACTAACTATACTTTGGTGATCCGATACAAGTGGAAGCTCAATAGTGAAAACGTGATAGTCAAGTCCAGTGCCCAACGCAATCTTCTATACAGTCAGATATTATTATTCTGCTAAATTTCTCCACAATTCAATCAAAACTTACACCTAACCAAAAACCCCTCCTTCTGCCATCCACCATCCACAACAATGTAGGTCGTGAACAACATAACCAAAAACAACCCGAGCATAAAGTGCTTCCTTGGACCACGCTACTTAGGAATCAAGACCGTGCGCAACTTTCAACAAACTAAAACCCCTTGTGGTGTAGTTGGATATCACGTTCGGCTGTAATTGTCTAGATTGTATACCGAAAGGTCACCGGCTCGATTCCGGTCGAGGGGAATTTCTTTTTTTCACTTTTTTTCGTTTTGTTTTGTCCGCTCCCGTTTTTATTCCATTGCTTTTTGGATCACCGTAGTGCTTTTTGTTTTTGTTTTCTCGCAAGTATGTCCTACAATGTCTTGTCGTTGTATCTTTGAGTTGTTGCTGCAAGGGTTAGTTAACTCTTTGGTTCCAACTTTCTGGTGGTGTTGTTCTTATGTTTGCAATTGCAGCTATAGTACTATACTCCACAAAGTATACTAGTGCATCGACAATTCTTTTTAAACTGTTCTTTTCTGTCTGTCCTCTACCTTCATGTTCACATACCCGCAGTTCGAATCCCAAATGTGTTCGGAATTGTTATGAAGACCGACAGTCATCGGCCCGTGATCCTCCCCGAAGGTGTTCGAAAACGAAACGGCAGAAACCCTTAACTCCGCGGAAATGCTTTTCGGGGCGCAAAAAGTTAACGAACTCTATGTAAGGACACTGTTCAGTTTCAATGTAGTTCTCTTCACACAGCCAAGATACCTCCAACTTGCTCTTCTGTCATATTGTTATCTTGAACCATCACATAAAAATGTAGGTTGTCTCTTTCTGAGTTCATATACACACCCATGACTACCGACATTTGGTCGTTATAGGAGTAGGTTGAATCACTATAACAAAACAAAAGGTGACAAAAAAGGAAAAAGAGGAGAGGAAAAAAAGAAACATACAACACCAGGGATTCGCTGGTCGTCACCGACCCAACTACTAGTCTGGCCCTCACTGGCTTATCTATGGGAGAGCGGACGGGATCCCGAGTTTTCCAGTGGGTATGGTCGTATGTGATGATCTTACCACAATCTGTGGTTTATGAATTTTGTTGCTGTTGTTCCTTTCCGTTAACGTCTTCCCTAACGTCCTCTCCCGTGTTAATGCGCTACTAGGTATATCACACTCCTGGTGTACGTACTCCCGTGCGGGACGCGATATCGTGTTTGTTGTATCTTTCTCATGGAGATTCTGCATTGTTTTCGAAATCAAAAGGGAGCGAGTATCTCTAAGAATAACTCACGAAACTAAAGTCCGAATGCTTTTCTGACTACTACAGTCGGAGCTTGAAGTAGAACCCCAATAGGAACTCAAGGTAGTCAGTCAGCCTACCCACGAGATGAAAATGTCCGAACAAAGCAGGTTTATTACTGTGCGGTACCATAGTTGTCGTCCAGAACCGTGTTAGGGTTCTTTCTGCTCTGACTTCTGCGTCCGGGGACAGGGCAGTGCTGAATCGCACATGCATCATCGATTCATCGTAGAAAGTACGGGATGTCGAGGGTGATGGTGATGAGTCGCCCCCGGCCGCCATCGTCGTCGACTTGTCTGTCGTTCGGTATCCGGCACTTTTGTTTCAACCCTTGCTCTATACTATGCAGTGGACAGACTGCCAGCTACAGTGTGTACATGATCATCAAAGAAGAAAGGAGTGAGCAACAAAAGTTGTGTTGTCTCGTAGGTAGCAAGCAGTGAGTTAAGTGGGGGTACCTGACCTATAGGAAATGCATCGATATTGAACAGGAGTCGCAAGTAACCAATGACAATGAAGACTTTTTGTATTATATCGACAATGATCATGATGCGAGATGTCTGCGTGGAAGGGAGCAGGGCAAGAGGGGGCACGCTTACCATGTAATGTACCCAGTGGTTATGTAAGTAGAGGTACCTGCCCCTCCATGCTGTCTTGTAGACCTCAATTCCAAGCTAGGTACGTAGATGTATGTAGGCAGTCAGGGCGGGGCAGGGCACGCCAGGACATTCAATGATCATGCCCCTACCAATAAGAGGCGTTTACTATACCTCTGAAAATTGATCGAGGAAAAGAGATGAGATGATCGCATCACTTTTCATCTTGTCCGCGTCTTTTCCTTTCTGTTCCCCCCTTCCCCCATCCCCCCATGTCAGCAAGCAAGGCGTGTGTGTGCCCCCCAACAACGGTACGGATGTCTTCCGAAAGGACGAAGTGAGGTTACAGTCAAGCAATTGTCAGCCGTCGGGAAATCGGGGGCGGGTCGGGGTTGGGGTATGTACTGTATGTAAAGGGGGGAGGGAGGAGGAGTGCGGAGGGGAGGGGTCTACAAGTAAGCTCTACTTGTAAAAGGTCTAGGGTGGTATCGTATCGCATCGCATTGCGCTCGCACAGGTTGCGAGTATTGTATGTATCGAAAGGTTCGACCTGGATGTAATGGTTAGGTATGTTTGATACGGGATACATGTGGTAACGTATCGTCGTATTGAAGATTACGGCGTCCATGGTTCCTGACTGACCTGAGTCGTGTTAGGTAGTTCGTCATCGCAGCCTCATCCACCTACCTGTTTTACCTGCCAACCAACTCCCGTAAGGGAGGGGGAGACCGGGCTGGAGGAAGATATGTAAGAAGTAAATATAGGACCATCTAGAAGCATCGTTTAAAGCTTCCAGACACGCGAGTGATAGATAATGAGCGGAGGCAGTGGGACATGATCTGATGTCTTAGCTTCCCCCCCTAGCTTCATGTCTTACCCGAGACAAGCAGACAAGATTGTCTTGTCATGTCTAGGGTAGAAATTCACGATAGGTATGGGAAGAAAAAAAGGGAGCATGTAAGCGGATTTGGGATTTGTAGGAAAAAAGTCGTACAATAAAAAGCGCCTGGTCGAACGATGGACGAAGGCCTGGACCGTTTGCCTTACCTTTATCCCACACCATGATCCGGTAGGAGTTGGCACCACTCATTCCAGTAGTAACTACCAAGGGAGCTGGAGCTGAAAACCGGATGTTCACCTTGTGATAGCGTCAAGGGTTTGGTCGTAGTTCGGTTCGGCCGGTTTCCCAAGTAGAGTGTTCTGAATCATTCGCTGGACACACCTCCTCAGGGTAACGTCCACCCGCGGTTTTCGAAACGCTAGACATTTGCCAAGATGGTGACATTAAAGTGCCTTTTGACCAGAAAAGATTGGTAGAGGGAATGCCTGCCCCAGTGTCCGCGTACAGAAGAGGACCACCACCATCCGCCTGTCCGCCTGTCCGCCCGGCTGCACACTGGCGACTGGTAGCGATCGGGATCCCGAATCTGATGATCTCGTAGGATGTAACTGGGTTTCATGCCGGTGCATAAACTGTGGCGTCGGTCTTTTTTCCCTTGCTGCAGTCCATGGGTCACTTTCAACGTTAGGGTGGGCTTGTGGGCCCGTTTGGTTCAGCCAGCTGTTTTTTCTTTTGTATGTGAAATCGACCCCTGCAAATCAACAAGTTGGCAATATCCGACCTCGGACCCCCCAAACCCCCTGTAACCCCCCTGTAAGAAAGTCTTGGCTGTACCTCCCCTGCTAGTGGCTTGTATGTGCTTGTATAAGGCCCTATTGCCTTCTTAATCTGGTATAGTAATGCTTGATTCTGTTGTTTTCTATCTTTATGAGAGTGGGTATGAAGATAGAAGTATTTTATTGGTTAATAGGGGTAATAGGCTGGGTTAGGTTAGGTTAGGCTGGCGTAAATTGTTAATACCCCACGGGCCCCCCTTCTATTTTGCATTTTATTGTAAATATTTAATAAAAGTAAATACTTCAATATAAATTCTATTCGATAATGTATTTTTACGTTCTTAGTAGTTATTCTTCTTACCGTTGCTACTATCATTCAAATTGCCCGCTGTTAAAGTAGCGATAAAATAGTCTATAGATTAATTTATATTAATAAAGGCGAGGGCGAGTCGATTGTACGTAATACTTTCTATTATAACCGCGAAGATAAATTGTTTGATTTATACCATATATAGTATTAACCTTTTAATTAGTTAATTATTTAAATATCCGAATATACTATTATACGCGGTACGAAATATGTTACGCGAAGCGATGCTTCACAAGTAATACTAATTGTGACGGCGCTGGCAGTCAGCGACCCACATGTGGGTCCCGCTATCGCTTGTGCGACCAGGGTATTTATTTGGGTTTGCATGCTTGTATCTAGTTCTCCTCCTCTTTTCTTCTCCCCATCTGAAATCTTCTGTCATAGATGGAATCTTAGCTTGGCCTTCGACCCTCCCATACTGTGCCCTTGCATTATTTCAGATCAACCCAACAATCTACCTGGGAAGGTTAAATCCCACCGAACCGAATCAAGAAAAGATCTGTCGCAAGAACTCAAGGCACCGAGCTTCAAGCGATCAACAACGACAAGATGGCACCGCGCCTTACTCGCAACAGTGCCGGCAGCCGTGAAGGCACCAAACAGACGGAGACACCCGCTCGTGAGGACTCTCCAGAAGACCCAACTGACGACACCTTCTTCGAGGGCGACGAGGGTGAAGATGGCGACGGAGACGGAGGCCCTGGCTCTCCTAATCCCGACCCTGAGCAAGAGAAGGACAAGGCCGCTGAGCCAAAACCCCAGTCCAAGAAGAAGAAGGTCGTCATTGACGACAAGACCGCCCACAAACGGAAGCCTATCGATCCCGTTATCAAGGAGAACGCGCGCGCCGCAGTCCACTTCAATGAGGAGCGGTTCAACGGTATCTGTCCTGATGAGGAGCGATTCCAAGGACGATCTACCATACTTCGCAAGAAGTCCCGGTACCACATACATAATTTGCTGAAGTCACTCGACGAAGCTCTGGCAGACGCGATGGCCAAGAACACGGGCGACGAGGACCCTGAGCTGTCCTTCAACCTGTTTGATGGGTATATCTCTCAGGCTATCAGGAGCTTCGACGTTCGTTTCAACCGCAAGGATATCGCTAACGACCTGCGACAGAAGATGGAGGAGTTCGCGGAGTTGTTCATTCGCGATGCTGCCCCCTGCGTTCCCTTCCAGTCTTTGTTCCCCTCTTCTAACATCCCGTTCTCCGGTTACCTGAACGAGGAAAGGTTCACCGAGCTATGCGACAAGGACCCTCAAGCCATGTTTCAGGAGTTCAAGTTGCTATCGATCATGAGCATGGCCCAGAAGGAGCAGGTCTCTGAGCTTCACCGCCTTGTCTCCCAGCTCGGTGTCAAAATGAACACGATCCACGACTGGGTTCCTGCCCTCGCGGACCGGTACTCCGATCGGACTTCCGCTTCTGCTGCCGACCCCGCTATGATCCAGCAGTTGAAGGACTCCCTGGTTGAGAAGGACGATATTATTGAGGGGTTGAAAGATATTATTGCTGACTTGAGCATCGGCAGAGGAGTCCCCAAGAACAAGGGCAAGGCTAAGGAAACGGTCCTCCCCAGCATCGAGCGAGACGCCAGCGAGGCTCCCCTTCGGGCTTCCACTCGCTTCTCTACCCTACCCCCCGACGATCACGACGAAGGAACCAGCTCTGGCTCTCGCCGCTCGACTAAACAGGCCGACCCTCCCAAGTATCACAACCAAGACAAGGAGGATGATGTTCCCTTTGAGGCCTGGTATGACTTGACCCAAGACAAGCTTGAGATTAATGCGGATCACTACCCCTCCGACCGCGACAAGTTTCTTTATGTCAAGAGCCGTTTGGGAGGTTATGCTTACCGCGATTTGATGCCTTATCTCCGCGAGACTCACCCTGACCAGATCACTACGTACTCCGGACTCATGACTCACTTGTGGCGCCAGTACCACGACCCCAACCAGGAGGAGAACGCCCTCCAGAACTTCACGAAATTGAAGATGAGGGACAACGACAACTTCGACTTCTTCAAGAACAAGTTTGTTCGGATGGCTGGCGAGTGCCAACGTCCCAAGACTGAGTGGAAGCGCGAGCTTTTCCAGCGCCTTCCGGTTGAGTACAAAAACAGATGGGCGCTAAGCATCGCGACTCTTCTATCTCCTTTGAATCTTACTGCAACGACTGCTCTGGTTTTGGCCAAGTGCTCAAGATCATCGCAGAAGAGAACAAGGCCGCTTCCAAGTCAGGAAAGGGCAACAAGGGTGGAGGTAACAGGAATCCCGGTTCTAACTCCAGCTCCGCCTCCAAGCCCGCCGCGGCCAGTAGTGGCGGTGGCTCCGCTCGTCAAACCAGCGACCGTCACGAAGAGACTACCCGACTGTTCAACGAGGGAAGATGCTTCCTTTGCAAAGAAAGAGGTCACACCAAGCGTGATTGTCCCGAGAAGGAACGTTTCGACCGTGAACGTCGCGACCGCGTTGCCGCCATTGTCGACCGCCACCTGGCTCATGACAACGAACAGGAGGCTCCAACTGCCCCCGCAGCCGCTCCAGCCACCGACGAACAGGGAAACTAATTACCCTGGGTGAACTAGACTCCTTCCCAGGGGAGGTGTCGGTTACAGAACAACAGAAAAAGGATAGACAGAAACATGGAGAAGGATTCAACTTGATACCCTTTCTGGGAGGAGAACCCTTACTCATTCAATGTGCCTTAGTCAATAATGGAATGTCTTTATCCACCTCTGATACCTTAATCGACACAGGAGCAAACGGTCATTTGTTCATCAGTACCACCTTTGCCGAGAAATTGAAAAAACGACTGTTGGTAAAATCCACGAGCAACTTCCCAGCTCGAGGAATCAGCGACTACCAAGGAAAGACGAATCAAAGCATCAAAGAAGTCATTAAAGCCGCCTTGAAGATTCAGAACCGTACTACGCCACCTGATTGCTTTATTGTAGTCAATATGGCACACGACATTATCATTGGCCGGAAATGGCTCGACCTTCACGATATTTGGGTAGATTGTGCGAACCGCCGTCTACTTTTTCCTTTAGAATGGAGACCGGACCCAGATTGGCTGAGACACCTCGAAGTCCGAGACTCCTCGACCACCGTCAACCCCGCTCACCAGAAAGACGTGGAACACCGCGACTCGTTGATGGCTCGAGAAGACAAACGGCGAACGGACGGCAGGAACAGCGGCCGCACGGCGCTACGCCTCACAAGCGGTTGCACCTCTACGGATCCTATCCCAACGGACCAACCCTTTCCTGACCATCGCAAGAGAGAAGCCGACCTTGAAGCTCGCGACCAATATCGCCGTGAGGACCGACAATACCAGAAAGAAATCGAGAAACGGATTCTGGAGCTTGAAGCCGCGTCCGACTCTGAACCCCGGATGGTCCCCATCACCCCAGCGGATCTCCAGTATACCCGAGAGGAGGACACCGGGGAGCTGGGCTATGCCCGACCGCGTTGTCTTCTCCAGAACCCCACCGCGATTCTCAAGAAGACTGATCCCTTGAGCAAAATGGAACGGAACTTGGCTAACCTTACCCACCTTATGGTGTTGTCTCCAGAACCCAAGCCGCGTCCCCGCTACCGAGAACAGCCCACTGATGGCAAATGGGGGTCGGATACCCAAGGCACCTACCAATTGAAGCGAGACGGTACAGGATGGTACAAGCATCGTCCCACTCAGATGTGTGTGCTAGACGGCGACCTCTTCCTGCGTTCCGTCAAGAAGGAGAACCGGACAACCTACTCGACAAGTATCTTCGAGATCGACCGATTTATCCAACAGAAACGAGTCATCGACGACCCCGCCTGGGAACCGCTTCCCCGCGATGAAAAAGAGCTCCGTGAAGAAGCTCTCCGTACGGTTCCTCCCGAATACCACGATGAAATCGAAGTCTTCAGCAAATACGACTCCAACTCGCTACCTGAGCATCGACCTTGCGACCACAAGATCGAACTCGAAGAAGGCCATCGACCCGAAGAACTCGGCTACAGTCCTCTATATAAGATGTCCCTTGACGAGCTGGAGGCAGTTCGCAAGTACATTCTAGAGAATCTGTCAAAGGGATTCATCGAGGCGAGCTCGTCCCCGTGGGCAGCACCAGTCTTGTTCGTAAAAAAGGCTGACGGAAGTCTGCGCTTCTGCGTGGACTATCGAAAGCTCAACGCAATCACTCGTAAAGACCGTTACCCGTTACCGCTGATCGAAGAGACCCTCGCCAAAGTCGCTAAGGCGCAATGGTTCACCAAGGTCGATATACGACAAGCCTTCCACCGCATTCGTATGAGGCCAGAAGACGAGGAATTGACAACATTCCGTACCGGGATGGGAGCTTTCAAGTACAAGGTGCTGCCGTTCGGTCTTACCAACGGACCAGCCAGCTTCCAAAGCTTCATCAACTCGGTTCTGGGCGAGTACTTGGGCAATTTCTGTACCGCCTACATCGACGACATCCTGATCTACTCCGACACTCTGGAGGAACACAAGGACCACGTCAAGAAGATCCTCCGGAAACTGAAAGAGGCCGGCTTGCAAGCGGACCTCAAGAAATGCGAGTTTCACGTCACAAAAACCAAGTTCCTGGGGTTCATCGTGGGGCGTGAGGGTGTCGCGGTTGACCCAGAAAAGGTGGAGGTTGTCAGGGAATGGGCAGTGCCGTCCAATCTGAGAGGGGTACAATCTTTCTTGGGATTCTGCAACTTCTACCGGAAGTTTATCAAGGACTACGGCCGCGTGGCCCGCCCACTCACGAACCTGACACGAAAGGGAGAGGCCTTCACATGGACCGATAGGTGTCAGGCCGCCTTTGAGGAACTCAAGAGACTGCTCGTGGAAGCCCCGCTCTTGAGACACTTCCGCTACGATGCCGAGACGAGGGTAGAAACGGATGCCAGCGACGGAATCCTGGCAGGAGTGTTATCCCAGCTACAGGAGGACACTGGAGAATGGCACCCAGTTGCTTTCTTTTCAGAGACCATGCAGAATGCGGAGCATAATTACCCCATTCACGACAAAGAGTTACTCGCCGTTATCAGAGCCCTCCAAACTTGGCGACCCGAACTTGTCGGCCTCCGGCAGAACAGGCCATTCACGATTATCACCGACCACCAGGCACTCGAGTACTTTAGTACCAAGCGCCTCCTCAATCTCCGACAAGCGGGCTGGGCTGAGTTCTTATCCCAGTACCACTTCGAGATCACCTACCGACCTGGCACGAAGAACGCAGCGGCTGACGCGCTCTCCCGCAAGTCGGAGGATCTCAAGACCCAGAAGGACAAGAAGGACGCGTACCGAACGCTCCAGATATTCAAGCCCGTGGAAGAAGACGGAGTCGAAGTCTCAGTCATTGCTTCCATTACGACCGCCTCCGGCCCGCCAGCGGAATCGGTACCGATAATGACCTTGAATACAGAAGAACTAAGCCCCGTCGAGCCAGAGGGATACGAGCTTGTGGACGCGCTCATGAAGGCTAACCGCGAGGATAAATCTCTGGAAGAATATCGTGCCCGCGCCTATGGTTCGGATCCCAACTTCGTAATGCTGGCTAACGGACTCCTGGTATATCAAGACCGCTTAATCGTCCCCGACTCGAACCACCTGCGCACCCGTATCATCGACGAAGCCCATTCGACTCTGTCCACGGCCCACCCTGGAAGAAATAAGACGCGGGCAGTTCTTAAGACACGATACTGGTGGCCTCGTATGGCAGGAGATATCGACCGTTTCGTCAAGAACTGCATGGTGTGCAAGGCCAGCATGGTGTGCAAGGCCAGCATGGTGTGCAAGGCCAGCAAAGTTCCCAAGGACAAGACACCAGGCTTGCTGCACCCGATTCCTCCGCCCGCCAGGAAATGGTCATCCATCGTCATGGACTTCAAGAAGATGCCAAGGGACAAGCATGGTTTCGACAACGCACTGGTTATGGTAGACAGACTGTCAAAGTCTTCATGGGTCACCCCGTGCACGGAAAACGCTACGGCACGAGATGCCGCCCGAATGTATTATGAGGGACCGTACCGTGTACACGGCATGCCAGAGGAGGTGATCTCAGACAGAGGACCACAGTTTACGTCCGCGTTCACGGACGAAATATCAAAACTAACCAAGACAAAGTGGAAGCTGGCCACCGCGGGACACAGCCAGACAGCTGGCCAGGCGGAAGTGATGAACGCCTACATCGATCAACGACTGCGACCGTTCGTCAACCATTACCAAGACGACTGGTCCGAGGCCATCCCCGCCCTAGACGCAGTACAGAACAGTCTCCCACAAGACAGTGTGGGCTTGTCACCTCACGAGATTATGTTTGGACACCAGATCAGAATGCCATTCGATTGGGAAGCCCGCACTCAAGACCCCAGCATCCCTCGTACCGAGCAGTTGACCAGAGAGCAGGCCCACGAGTACACTCAACGTATACGTGGCTACATCGAGTTCGCCAGGGAGATGATGCTGAAGGCATAAGAACAACAGGCGGCCCAGGCGAACAAGAAGCGGAGGGAACCAGATTTCGAGCCAGGAGACAGGGTCATCATCATCAAGAGGCTCTGGTCTACGACAACTCGACCCAGTGACAAGCTCGATTTCCCCAACACCCGCAATCATTACAAGATTATCGAGAAAGTAGGGCACTCCTACCGTCTGGAGTTGCCACAGAGCTGGAAAGGCACCGACGTGTTCCACGCGGACCGCTTACGAAAGTACGACAACAACCCACTTCCCGGACAGGCTCTCGAATGCCCCGGCCCGATCAACACGGACGAGGACGGAGACCCCGAGTGGGAAGTCGACAGAGTCACGGCTTCCAAGGTGGCCAACGGAAAGCTCTTCTACCAGGCGGACTGGAGGGG